ACACCAAATTCCAGAAACCAGAAAAATAAATATTTACAAGATGGGTCCAGAATTAGAACACCAGACAAAAAAAAAATAAGGAAAAAAAGCTTCACACACACACACTCACACACTCTCTCTCTCTCTCTTAATTTTACGACCAATGAAATTGCCTAGCATAATTTTCAAAATGAACAGGTTAAGGTGATGTAAAAAAAAATATGTGCGATTAATTGTTTACACTGAAAAATTAAATGGAGGGAAAGTTTAGCTTTTGTGATAATGGACCCGGTATCATAAATTGCACTGCAGTTAAGCATATTGAATAGGCACACATATACATACACACATACATACATTTTGATACATTCATTATATATATACACACATATAGGTCCATACATTCATTATATATATAATATATATATATATATATATATATATATATATATATATATATATATCTAATCTACAGAAACATATCAATATACATACACATATATAGGACACACATATCAACATACATTATAGATATGCATGCAATTATATATATAAAATTCATATCAACATAGATATACATATTTAAACACATGTAAATATATATGTTTACAAACGTATCAACACACGCACACTTATATACATAACTATATATTTGTACTTCAATGTGGTGTGCTGTTATGATCTTGAGAATATATATATATATATATATATATATATATAAAAACATATATATATCAAAACATATACTGGCAAGCTTTGTGATTGTGCTGTCAGGTTTTGTGTTGGTTTTACCAATACTTTCGTTTGCTACATGAAAAATTTGAAATTATCAGATTTTTTATAAAAACTCCCTATTAAAACAAAGAAGTGAATTGAATGTAAGTTGTAGGCATTGCCTACCTTTTACATTACAATATGTTTAAACTTTGCATTTGATAATACTTTTTATTACAGTAATAATTAGTAGATGAACTGTTGTGCACCTTATATGGCTTACTATTCTATTTGTATGCTTCATTTTGATTTAATATTGCTTTGTATTGAAGTTTGGTTTAGGTAGTATTAACATCTTATATGGATGTACAAGTATTTGGCTGATATTATTAACATCTTACATTGATTAATTGGTATTACTAACATCTTATATGGATGCTCTTCACTTAATGGTTGCATATTAATTTGCCAAAGTAGTTCTGTATTTTTTATCTGCCCCCCCCCCCCATGGTCTGCCAGTTTCTTAAAGGGGTCTTTTATTTATCAACTACAAAATTTTATGTAAGAAGCTGAATGAGCATATTACTCATACCATTATGTTAAATTACCTCACCATCTCTTTTGCTTTTGCTTCTTGAGAAGTTTTAGACTTCGATACATCTTACTAAATAATGTAACAATCTGTATCTGCCCATAAGCAAATTGTTTAGATTTTATATGTAGACAACTTCATATCATGACCTATATTAAAATAAGAATTTCCAAATTTGTATTTAGCATGGGTCACATTCGATTGATTAATCACAGCAAAGCCTACAAGCGTATTTTTTAAAGTATTCTCCTTTTTAAAATTAATTTTTCACTCACCAGTAGTTTAACATTGCCTGAAGAGACACATTTATGGTGTTGAAACATAATTGTAATTGTGTAGCGATTTTTAACATGTTTTAATATCCCAAAATAAATAATATTTAACTCTACTCTGTATTGAGCTCTCTTTTAAATTAGATTTATATACAATGGAATCATACTCCATTCGTTCTCATTTTACCTAGAGATAGATATACTAGTTGTGTATAAAAACTTCCAACAAAAAAAAAACAAGTGTCTTAAATGTCTAATTTTAAAAAGAGAGCATGAGGAACTTTTAAACACCTAATACACACACACACACATATATATATATATGTGTGTGTGTGTATTTAAGCAGCAATCCTTCATTTATGCATGTTTCATTAAAAACAACAGACAAGGTACTATGGTTAAGCTTTTTATTTAATTTTTCTTGTGTTCACACAAAAGCTTTCTTTTTTGGACACCGAGTGTCTAGAAACTCTTAAAAGTATAGCTGAAAGTGCTCGGAACTATAGAACATTTGGACAGTTTCTACACACTCAAAAAAGAAAGCTCTTGTGCAAACACAAGAAAAATTAAATAAAAAGCTTAACCATAGTACCTTGTCTGTCTTTTTTAATGAAACACACACACATATATATTCCTCATTGTTAGGCACAACTCTGTACAACAAAATCTTCAATCTTCAGGTGTGCATTGAAAACTAATTGAGCTTTCAATTATCACCTGAAGATTGTTGCATGCATGAAACTCAAAGTTGTGCTACATGCAAGAAAAAACAAGTATATTTATTATAAATATATAAATTATAGTTCCATTATTCTCTCTTTCATAAGAAATATATTTGCGGACACTGAGGTCCACAGTGAGTGGCTACAATTTGTTTTAAGCTTGAATGCAATCATTTGAAGATTACATTCAAGCATGAAACAGACAGTAGACACTAGGTGTTGACATCACTGTCAACTATTATATATATATATATATATATATATATATATGATAAAAATAAAGCATACACTGAGGTAAAAGAAAGCATACACTGAGGTCAACACCAAAAGACAATAGTCTGTTTCATACTTGAATGCAATCTTCAGCCCATGTTTTTCACACACACACACACATATATATATATATATATATATATATATATATATATATATATATATATATATATGAAGTATTATTGAAATGTTCTTACCCACCACCCATTTGCAAAAAAAAACTGAACAACCTAAGATCTGAATTTGTCAGGTAAAGTTCCTTGTCTGGGTCGGAGAACTTTTCAATACCTTACACGCACACACACATATGGTTTGATTGAATTGTTTTTTTACGACTTATCAACCCTTTGTCAGTTATTTATAACTAAAATATATAATTTGACACACACAAATATATATATATATATATATATGCATTACTGGCTTTCATATATATGTTTTACATACAAGGCCTTTAACACAACACTACCAATATACACATGCATACAATAATGAATTTACACTATGTATATATATATATATATATATATATATATATATATATATATATATATATATATATATATATATATATATACACATACAAAGGTACAGATTTACATTCATACAGAAGTCCCTACATACACTATATGCCATACAAACTTTGGGTGCTTACTGTAGTGCAATATTTAAGAAGCTTGTTTCACTGACCAATTCATAAAAGAACAAAGTTCAATCATCACAAGTGCCTCATCACTGTGGCCTTGTGCCAGGCTAAGGTAGTCTTAATAAATATCTATAGCATGCCTATATCTTTATACTAACATTTACAACTTCAACTATTACATACTATTTTTTTGGCATGAAATTTGGTTAGAAGTATTTTTACATGTATTTTTTTTGTCTTGTATTTTTTGTCCTCTACATTCTGACTATTAACTAAGTTATATTCAGTTCAAATACTTATTTGTGCGATGAGTAATTATCATTCAAAGTTATTTGGGCTACTATTTTAATTCTTTATTTGGAACTATTTAAATTAAGTGGTCCACTCATGAAAAAAAGGGGGGACAATTTTTCTTTGAACAATTTTTTAGACTTAGTATTTTTTAGACTTTTCTCTACCCACATTTGTAAGAAACAAAAAAATATTAAGTTTTTATTGTTTTAGAAGGGAGGTCCTCATCATAATATAAATAGGTTTCCCTATCATCCGGTTCACACTCCTCTTCGGTCCTGTGAACAAGAGTAGAGGTTTATCTCGTTTCCTTTTTAAGATTGGGTTTCCAGTTCCTTCTAAAGTCTTTTCATTCTCTTTCACTTCCAGTAGCTCCTACCTGTCTTAGTGGCATTATCGCTTTGCTTGGGGTGAATTGATTTAAAAAAAATAAAAAATACAGTCTTAAATCAATCCCTGACTTTTTAAAGAGTTATCTGTACTTTGTTTTATTTTTTGATGACTGTGTCCTATTACAAATTGGGAAAAAGGACAACATCAGTAGTACATTGTTATCAATGGTAGAGGTTTTCAACTTGACATTTGTAAATAAAAACAAAGTATAGATGACACTTTAAAAAGTCAGGGATTGATTTGACATCATATTCAAAAATTTAAATGTCAATCATTATCTTGTCTTCTTAATTCTTCTTTTATTGTCCTTTCTCCTTAATAGGAGTTTTTCTCATATTCGCTAACACTCAGTAACCACTTGCGCCCTAGTGGCTTTATTACCTTGCTGGAGGTGAAATGATTAAAAAACAAAAAAAAAAAATTATATTATGAATAGAAATCCGCCACCCTTTTTAAAATGATAAATATTTTTAGTTTTTTTTTCAATTTGGACAAATGTTGTGGGGAGAGAAAAGTCTAACGAATATTAATCTAAGTAAAACTGTTTAAAGAAAAATTCTTAACGAGTGGACAAGTTTATTTAAATAGTGCTTTTGTTTATTATTATTGGTACAGTATATAATCTCTCTCTTATTAAGAGCCAAAAAGGAGAGGAAATTGTGGAGAGCCATGATCACCAACATCCTGAAGGGATACGGCACATAAAAGAAGAAGAGACAGTTTCTCGTATGAAAACTGAAAATTTTTTTTTTTTTACAAAGGTTGTCTTCGCATCAAATTGATAAATTCTACAATTTATCAACACTTTCCAGGTTATTTAAAGCCAGAAAATATTTTTACATTGCAAGAATTATTTTGGGAGATAACAATTTAATGATACAAGTTTCACTAATCAACCCATAGCTGGGGGTAAAAGGGGCAGATTCAGTGATTGAACCTGTGTTTCAAGTGATATGGCCGTAAGACCATTATACTACCTACACATCCAAGCTTACAGTACCTGGAAAGCAATCACCCATCTAGGTACTGACCAGGTTCAATGTTGCTTAACTTTGGTAATTGGACGAGAACTGGTGTTTCAACCTATGGTTGTTAGATATCCCACCCACACACTGAAGCCTACAACACCTGGTATTCCCAAGCAGTTACATATCTAAGTACTGACCAGGCTCAACATTGCTTAACTTCAGTGATTGGACAAGGACTGATGTTTTAATGTGATATTGCCATAAGCCCATTATACCATCAGGGGAAACAAGCTTACAGCACCTGGTATTCCCAAACTGTCACTCATCTAAGTATTAACCAAGCTTGACATTGCTTAACTTCAGTGATTGGACAAGAACTGATGTTTTAATGTGATATTGCCATATGCCCATTATACCACCTGGGGAAACAAGCTTACAGCACCTGGTATTCCCAAGCTGTCACTCGTCTAAGTACTGACCAAACTCGACATTGCTTAACTTCAGTGAATGGACAAGAACTGGCGTTTCAACGTGATATTGCTGTAAGCCCATTATACCACCTTGAGAAACAAGCTTACAAAACCTGGTATTCCCAAGTTGTCACCCATCTAGGTACAGACCAGTTTCAACATTGCTTAACTGGTCATTGGACATGATATGGCCATAAGGATCAGGGTTTATCTTAGTTTCAGTCTATTTATGTTGGATGTTTTACTGAATATTTTTCTAACAAATATCATCAACTTTTAACCTTTACCACTTCATTGTATTACAAATAAACTGCAATACTATTTATATTGTTTCTTATTTATTCTATTCATAACGTTCACTGAAGAAATATTTAACATATTTGAGACTCTTCTTTTTTTGTTTTTAAATACACCAGAACATCACTTGGCATCTTAAAACTCGGGTTTTAGTACTGGCTGTTTCCTGGTTTCCAGGTTGTTCTCCAGGTCTAATGAAAACTTTGTCTTGCAAGTCATCAATGGATCTGGATGAATTTTGAAAACAGCCCTGTACGGGCAAAACTTATAGCAGATAAATCGTTGCAAAATACACAGTATGGTACCATTCCAAATCCCAAAATATGTCGATTCCCAACATTGTTGGGTAAGAGACTGTTTCCTGTTTGATAAAGTTTCACAGACTTCTTCAGGTGTACAATCTGTATGGATTTCAGTTAAGCAAACCAGAAAATGGTGTCCAATAGAAAAAATGTCAAATATAGAATTATCCAAAATATTCTTCAATGTGAGGTCCAAGTAATGGATTGTGAGAATTACTGGAGAGTGAGAAAATTGAAAGAAACTGCAGATATTATTAGCTTTGTGAATCAGTATTTATGTTAGGCTAGTGTAAAATTGTTTGCTTAGCAACAGAAAGATTGGTGAGCAAGCTAATGAGGAAAATATGGAAGATGTCTGTAGTGTATGCATTGCTTGCAATATATTTTTCAGTTCATTACCATTTTTTAGTTTGCACAAATGAGGAAAAACAAAAACAGTCCTCTTCCAGATTGCATATCTGAAGAAGGCCCTAGAATGGAAACATGATGCAAATGACAAAACCAAAATGAAGAGCGAGTTTAAAACTCCAAATGAATCTTGGAATGAGGGAGTATTCAATTTTGAAGTTTTTCTATAGCCTTAAACCATGGAACTGTGATTAACTCCCCCTTCTCTCTCTCTCTCTCTCTCTCTCTCTCATACACACACACACATATATATATATAATTCAATAGAATGATGATATGGAGAAAAAGAAGAAATTCTGGTATTTTTACTTCTGTGTGGTTTATTTTTCCTTTGTTAATCATGTTTCATGTGCATATGACTTGTTAAACAAACGTTAGTATAATTTGTGGTGTTCTGAATAAATGAGTCATTTCTCCATGAATTCAGAACACCACAAATTATGTTAATGTTTATTTTAACAAATCAAATACATGCGAAACATGATTAACCAATGAAAATCAATCACAAAAGTAAAAATACCAGAATTTCTTTCTTCTTTTCTCCATATCACAGTTTCTTTATCTTATCATATGTATATATATATGTATATATATATATATATATATATATGTATCCCTCTCTCTCTCTCTCTCTCTTTCTTTCTCTCTTTTGCTTTCTCTCTCATTCCTTTTTTAATTTCTCTGCTAATCCCTCCTTTAACTATTGCATGAACAGCATCTGTTTTGAAAGCAGATTGCAGCAACAATAATGAGGACAAATGCAACAACAAGCACGGTCCCCATGGCAAACATCTCACCCATAGAGAGACCATCTTCACCGTGAGGAGTTGGAAGACTGTCTTCAAACATTGGTGTGTTACTGAAAAAGCAAAAGAAAAAAAAATTAAACATATACACAATACAGAAAATACAGAAAAGGAAACAGTTTTATCAAATTATTTAAGTACATTGACTGACATAGTGTTGATAGCAGACATAGAAAGGAAACTACAAGGACTCCTGCAGAAGGTAGTGAAGGAAAAGAAGAAGAAAGGACTAAACATCAATTGCAAGAAGACATAATGCATGGATGTCAGCTAAAAGAAACAGCCCAACATGCATATTACAAATTGGAAATGCCAAAATCAAGCAAACACAAAAATTTAACTATCTACAAAGTATTTTAAGAGAGGACAGAAAATGAAACACTGAAATCTAAAAGTGCATTGGGAGAGCAAAAGATGCCTTCAAAAAGCTAAGCAAAGCATTCAGAAACAGGAAAATTTTGTTAGAAACAAAGAAAAGAGTATTGAACTGTTATGTAAAATCAGTTCTCTAGTGAATGCTGGACAATTGCCTACAAAGATGAAGAAGAGATTTGAGGCAATAGAAATGTTATTCTACAGAAAGAGGCTGAGAATACATGGACTTAACATGTGAGCAACAAGGAAGTTTTAGAGAAAATGGAAACAAAAAGGACACTTATACTTAACACCAAAAAGAGACAGTTAAAATTTCTAGAGCACATAATGAGGAAAGAGGGCTTGTAAAATTTGACACTCATAGGACATATTGAAGGCAAGAGGGACAGAGAAAAACCTAACAAGCTTTTGTAAATGGATGGCAGAACAGGGTTTAGGATAGATAACAAAAGGACAATATTTACTAAAAGCAACAAAGGACAGGAAGTTGTGAAGAGCCATGATCGCTAACATCCTTAACGAATATATCACCTGAAATTATGACAGGAATCATCATCATTATTCCAGAAGTTCTTTGCAATAATATCCACATTTTTATATAATTACCACTTTTCAACCATTGCATTCTTTGGCCTTCATCAGATTTATAAACCATCTAAAAGAAGGAGATTCAGATATGCAGTATATTTTTTCTTTCCCTATAACTCCAATTTTTATAGTGTGACCTGTGAACTGGGTTTCCTATTCAGTGGGAGAGGAATAAACAAAATATTATAGGAAACACACAAAGGTCACTGGAACTATTAGGTTGGTGCAGAAATAATGACGTAATAATGTTGTTTTTTGACGTTAAAAAATACGTCAAAAAACGACATTATTACGTCATTATTTTTGCACCAACCTAATAGCAGGCACTAGAGGAAAATCAAAAAATAATATCAAACATAATATTGTATTAAAACAAGAATGAAGATAGTAGTTCCATTAATTCCATGAGTACTTGAAATTTTAGGTAATCAAAGATTTGAACTTGCAACCCTTAGTTCCCAAAATAAGCAATGCATTTGCAAATCTTGTTGAGTTAACAGACTTTAAACAGTAACCCAATAAAAGCAATATAAAACAACAGAAATAAAATGAAAGAAATACTAATAAAAATGAATAATAATTGACAATGTTACATCTAAGAATTTCAAAGACAATATAGTACTAAAAATGTAATAAAAAGCAAAAGAAATAAGATGAAAGAAAATTAATTCCAAAACTGATAACCTTATTATAATTCTTACTCCCCAACCTCCACCCCTACCTTAGCACAACCATTACACCCTGTCAAAATCCCATAAATAATAGACTATTCCATTTTAGTCTTGTGGAAAGACAGAAAAGACATATCAGAAACTCTTCTTGGTTTCACTGAGAAAAGGAAAGAAAAAAACAAGGGAAGATAGAAGTGTTCAAAGTTTCCTGCCAATAGCTCATAAATAGACTGTTCCATTTTGAGCCAATGGATATACAGAAAAGGCATATCAGATGTCTCCTGCCAATAGCTCATAAATAATGGATGATTCCATTTTGATCATGTAGAATGACAAAAAAAACATCTCAGAGACACTACTTGGTTTCAGTAAGAAAATGAAAGAAAGTAAAAAGGAAAGATAGAAATGTTTAATGGCTGAAATTAAAAATCTTTTCATTTGTACCCCCTTACTTCTTAAAATAACACCCAGAATTCATATTTATGATGGTTATTGCAATTTTTTTGTTAAAGTTGTTAAGCTCAAATATTTAACAATGCAACAGAGGAATTTCTACGGATATTTTATTATTGTGGAACTTGCTATGAGCTTATTCAATCATTAACTTAAGAATTAGGATTCATCAGAAATTTCAAATAGGGAAACCATGAAATTTCCATGGGTTACTTCTAGTGATTTATAATGTCTCCCATCAGTAACACCATTATATTAATACCACTCATGCTATATTAAATACCACTCGTGTGATGTTAAACACCACTCGTGTGATGTTAAACACCACTCGTGTGATGTTAAACACCACTCATGTGATAAAGTCAATAAAAATTTGGTCATGTAGTAAAGTGTATTTTTCATTTTTTTTTTTCCATCAAAATTTACTTAGACTTAGAATCAACAAGAGACAGTAAAAATTTCTGGGACACATGAGGAAAGGTTTGGTAAACTTGACACTCACAGGACATGTCAATGACAAGAAGGACAGAGAAAAACAGTAACTTATTTAATGAGCTTGTGCAAATGGATGGCAGGGCAGGGAGAGGGAAGATAATAAAAAGACAAATATTGCTAAGAGCTACAAAGGCTAGGATGCTGTGGAGAGCCATGATCGACTTACCTAACATGCTTTATGCAAATGGCTGGCAGAACAGGGAGTGGGAAGGATAGTAAAAACACAAACATTGTTTAGATCTACAAAGGATAAACAGTTGTGGAGAGCGTGAAGGGATGTGGTGAGTGAAGAAGAATATAGCTGAAGCTTTAAGTCAGCCTCCAAAAGTGAGGGAAGAGGTTTCAACTCTTGCCAGAGACTTATTTGGCAAACTTGGACCTTCATGCTGAAAAAAAAAAAAAAAAAAAAAAAAGTGTCAAAGGGATAGTTTTTCCCTTGACACCACTATTATTTTAACTACCTTCACTCCTCAACAATGTTTATTGATTTAAAAAGTGATTAGAATTGCAATAAAATCTAAATATATGAAAGTGAATTTATACATTTTCTTGAGAATTGACAACAAAAATAATAAACACTATTTATGATGTAATGGAATAACCAGTTACCCCCATGAATGATTACACTATAGGTAGTAAGAACTTATAAAGTCAACTGCCTACAAAAGACTCAGGGAAGAGTGAGAAAGAAGACGCAAGCACATCCGACCTTCCAATTAATGGTACACACTACTAGATTGACCTGTGTGTATAACTGTACCGTATTTCATATTGTACTGGATGTGTACAATAAAACTTTCATCTATTATTCACCTGGTGTTAAGTATTTATTCCCTTAACACGAAATATAACAATTTATTTATTTATTAGATTGTTTATTAGAATGGTTGGCAAAACATTGGCTAATTACCAATTGATTCGAACACTATAAAATGGTAAATAGTAAGGATTTCCTTATAGTTGATACACATATTTTTATAATTTAGTAAAATGTTTATAAATATATGAATAAAAAATTGTTCTCACATTTATTTCTTTAAAAATGATATAGCATTGTATTAGCTTTAATTGTATTAGTTTTTAGAATGTTGTAAATATATGCAATTATTTTTGTAAATAAACAATCTAATGAATAAATATTGTTTAATATTTTTGTTGTAAATTCTCAAGAACAAAAAAAAAATGTATAAATTCACTTTTCATCATATGTTTAGGTTTTATTACAATTCTAATCATCATTTTTAAAACTATAAACATTGTCCAAGTAGTGAAAATTGTTAAAATAATATCAGTGTCAAGAAAAAAAAAAACATCCTTTCCAGGCACAAAAGTCCAAGTTTTCCATTTATTTTTGATTTGGGTCATGGTAAAAAAATAAATGAATTAATAGAAACCATTAACATTTTTAACGGAAATAAGTTCACATGTGAAATTGTTCAGTAATTGCTAGACTTACTGAAATGGAAAAACTCACCTGATGTAGGTAGCTGTATGTTTTCTGCCTGTGTCTGGCATAACGATAGAGAAGTTTCCAGCAAAAACAGATTCATGAAGCAAAGAATAAACTCGCTTGCCATCAGGACCTGAAATGTAAGGCACCAATAAAGGCTTTGTGTAGACAATTTTTCAGGATCATTCTTATGAATCAAGCAAAATTTTAGCATTAGAAATTTCCTCAAAGTGGATAAAAAAAATACTAATATTTTTTTTCTATAATTTCACTATAAAACCACTAAGACACAAGAGATTTCTGATTGTGAGAGAATATGAGAAAAACAAAAACACTATTAAGGAGAGAGAACAATAAAAGAACAAGAATTAAGAAGACAGAAGATAACAATTTAAATTTTTGAAGACCAGAGTTGAATGGGAATCAAGAGCCTGAAGGAGAGTTCTATGAGCAAGAAGTGTGAGAAAAGAAACTGTTAGCATAGAACTTTACAGTTCCATCTGACCATTTCAACTGTAAAATGATGAGATTTAGCTGCCAATCTAGTATTGTGGTTAAATTCTTCAAGTCGAGGTACCAAAGAGGCAAGTTCATCAGAACAATAAAAATATAGAAAAGGCATAGAGAAATTACATTAGGGTAGTGAGAAAGTAACTGAAACTGAGATGCCAGATTTGAACTGAAAATATTGCAGATTCTTTGGATTTTATCAAGAACCTCTAGACTCTAAGCAAAAGTACCGAACCAAATGTGGCAGCAATATTTAATACATGGACAAATGCTAGACTTATAAATGTGTAAGACAGAGTATGGCAAGAAAAACTGTCTAACATGACACAGTGAACCAACTGTCCATCAAAAGTGATTCAATATAATCTTTCCACTTTATGTAAGCAGAAAAGATTAACCCAAATAGGCACAATGAATCCTTCTCCTGAAGACTAGCATGAGTCATGCTGATGGATGGTAGGAAGGGTTCTCTAAAACAATTAAATGAGAGCAGTTTCGTTTTGGAGGTGTCAAAATTAACAAGCCATTCCTTGTCCCATTTAACAACAGATTGTAGGCCATTTTTTGAGATTAGCTGCTAATGTGATCTTATCGAACAAATCAGACTTAACATTAAGACAGGAGTAAATAGTTGTGTCATCAACAAAGATACCAAGCTGAGAGCAGATGATATTGGGAAGGTTGTTGATGAAAATTAGGAGCAAATTAAATCCAAGGATAAAGCCCTGAAGGACACTCACTTACTGAGTCAGTGTGACTAAAGAATGTAGCTCATCTGAACATTTACCATGAATTGATTTGTTTTTTATGATTTATCAATCTTTTGCAATTTTTAGAGTTGGAGAATAATAACGATTTAAAGATACAAGTCCTAATTAACCCTTAGTTGATTGACTGATTTCTTTTTTATGGTTTATCAACCTTTTGCAAGTTATCTAAAGTCATAAAATGTTTTTAGACTGTAAGAATATTTTGGAAATTCAGATTCTCGAATTTCCAATTCTGAACCGTTATCCAGTACCCCACCATCCGCAGTTAGGGGAGGGTAGGGGCAGATATGACACACTTGGGTGATCGTGTCTCTTTTCAAGTGATGATCGCTGTAAATGTAACAAACCCAACTAGAATTGGAACACTGCTCTCCAATTTCTAATTCCAAGCTGTTATCCATTACACCACCCGCACATTCAAGGTTACAGCAACTGGAATACCCGAGTGGTCACCCATCTAGGTATGGGCTAGACTTGAAGTTGCTTAACTTTAGTGATCATACAAGAACTAGTGTTTCAACATGATATATCTTTTTTTAATCATTTTCCCCCCAAGCAAGGCAGTAAAGCCACTAAGACACAAGGGGTTACTGGATGTGGAAGAATTAGGAACAGAAACATTAATAATGAGTGGGAAGAGAAAAGAGTAATCAGGAGGACAGTAGATAGTGATTGACATTGCATTTAAATTTTTGCAGATTAAAGTTGGCTGGAAAGCATGGAGGCAGAAGGGAGTTCCACAAGTGAGAAGTGAGGGAAAAGAAACTGTCGGCATAGAAGTTACAGATACATCTAACCGGTTCAATTGTAAATTGACACCAGTCTAGTACTGCAATTGGATTTATAAAGACTAGATACCATACCGAAGAGTAATTATGTTATATTTCGTGCTGATAGAAATATGGATTTGGACAAATATGGTGGATAAATAGTAACAGGTTTATTGGAGAAATCAGTACAACAAGCAAGGAAGTAATAGTTATGCGCACGGTCGTCGCAAGTCAATACAGTTGCTGTTATCGGAAGGCCGCTAGTCTCGCAGATCCCAGCTCGACTCTCCTGTCCTCTGTCCTAACGGATACTTATAGGTGGTTACTACCTATAGTGCTGCCACTCATGGGGGTGGCAGGTTATTCTATTACATCAAATTAACATGAAAGTATTTATAGAAAAAGCACAGGGGCAACTTTACAATAATGGCAAAGTGATTGAAGTTGAGCCACCAGATCAGGACAGATAATATTGCTGATTTTTTTTAGATTTTATTAAGGCACTCAAGTTGCCATGAAAGTAGCAATGGAGTAGCAACAGGCTTAATGCATTGTGTCAATGGGAAAGGGGATATTAGGTGTAAAATAAGTAACTGCTCCCCCCCCCACACATTCACACACACAAGGTCAGGTAAAAGATTTTGAAATAAAAGTGAGGATTGGAGCAATATACAACACTTGAAATTTTTTAAAACTGTTCTTTTTAAATTTCTATTCTTACTCTGAAACTGAGAATAACTTTTTCAGCATTGCTAACTCCAAATCTTGAAAAGTATGTGAAAAAGATTTAAAAATTCAATATACATAATATAAAACTAGGTAAAAAAAAATTTAACTTTAAAAGAGAAAATTAAAGGACTACAGAAGATCATACTAACCACTTCTTGAAGGACCTGGAGGTAAAAGCTGGAAGCTCACAATTGTTCCACGTCGGATTCGGAAACTCGTCAATCTCCGGCGATCAAGTGGCTGAAGTTCCAGCACTCTGTTTATTATGATCCTGCGGAAGTTGTCCATTTGACTATTTTTACGTAAGTAATGATAGTCCAGATCTCCAAATACTATGTTTATTAAAAAAGGTAGTGGATATACCATTGCTGAAAAATTAAGGAAAAAATGTATGTCATATCATTGCTGAAATCTCCTGATGAGTGGACCAAATAATTACAAAAAGGATCATCTATGAAGCCTGGTGCTGAATATAACATCAATCAGCTAAGTGACAAATTTTATATTTGTATCAATCCTATATATATATATATATATATATATATATATATATATATATATATATATATATATATATATATATAGGTGTGTGTGCGTGTGTTTGTGTAAAATAGGATACAGAATCCAGACAAAGTTTGAAAAATATCACAAATGGAAAACCATTTCATTGAAACTAGATTACACATTTTGCCCTTGCAAGGCATCGGATCAAAAATAAAAGCAAGAAATAGGATGAGGATTTACTTTAAATTCAATGTCAAAGAGCTGGGAGACTGTAGAAACAAATTTTGACAAAAAGAAGAAAATTGTAAAGAAAAAAATAACAGCATAAAAATAACTCCTTTTTTTTACAAAAGTCACACAATTTTGTTCTTTCTTTCATCCCAAGAAATGCCTCCTTATTAGAAAAAAAAAAGTATTAATGATTTATTATTTCAAGCCGACACACAAATACACACACACACCTATATTTCTTTCTTTTGTCTTTGATCTGAAGTCTAGCAAAGGTGAAACATATAATATATATATTGTTTATTTCTGTAGCAATCCCTCTTTTATACAAGTTTTATTAAAGACAACTGACAAGGGTTTGCAATTCAGAGTTTTTCCTTCTCCTAGACTGGTTGCCACCCAAGGTTATAGAACACAGTTTGTCCTGCTATTTGCCCATAGCTGGGGGGAAAAGACAACAATTCATACCTTTCCCAAGGGTTATTAGCACATAAATGAATGTAATGGATCCGACTGGAATTCAAACTTGGCTCTCCGATTCCTCAATCCAAGGAGCCGGTATCCATTACTCCACCATGCCTCCTTCCTATACAGATGCATATATATATATATATATATATATATATATATATATATATATATATATATATATATATTCATATATAAAAATACATCAGTTAAAAATACATCCTGATAATGGTTAATAGAATAGTTGAAAGCACTTAGATCCATAAAACATTTTGACTGTTTTACATACTTTATGTTGTTCTGGACAAGAAAATACTTATACACATGCAAGAACAAATTGAATGAAAAACTTAATTGCAATACCTTGTCAGTAGTCTATAATAAATACTTATATATATATATATATAGGAAATGTACATTTAGGCAGCAAAGTAAAACCTATGTCCTCCACATGACACTGCTTTTTTTAACTACCTTCACTCTTTGACAATGTTTATTGTTTAAAAAGTGAATAAAGTGAAATTATACATTTTTTTTGTTAATATTAAACAGTGTTTATTTACAAAACTAATTGTATATTTATAACATTCTAAAAACTAAGACAATTAAAACTAATGCAATGCAATATTTATCATTTACCAATTTATAAAGAAATAATTATGAAAACAATTTTTTATTCATAAATTTATAAACATTTACTAAATTATTAAAATAGATGAACCCACTATAAGGAAATACTTATTATTTACCATTTTATAAAGTTTAAATCAATTGGCAATTACCTAATGTTTTGCCAACCATTACAATAATTAATATAATAAATAATGTAAATAAACAATCTAATACATAGTGTTTATTTATTTTTGTTGTCAATTCTCAAGAACAAAAAAAAATGTATAAATTCACTTCTTTCATATATTTTGGTTTGATTCCAATTCTAATCATAACTTTTTAAAATAATAAACATTGTCAAGGAGCGAAAGTAGTTAAAAAAGCGGTCATGAGAAAAATTGCCCTTCTGACACTCCAACTTACTGAGAGCATGTTTATCCATATTTGTTGAGAGATTTTATAAATTTCAACAGACTGTGGTACTGGCTGCTCAGTCAATGAATGCAAAATGTTTCCTTATAAGAAAATGGCTAACATCACAATTACCATATTATATCCTTCTTACAGATGCTTCATGCTTTTAACTAACCTGTGGACATACTATACATGTCTTGTGAACTAGCTGGCTGCTTTGTACTTGATTCTCGGTTAGATTTTGTACACAAAAGACCTAGTATTTTTGGACAGTGTACAACACCATTATAACCAGGAATCTGAAAATAAAAAAAAATTTTTTTTAAATTTAGTCATTATTAAAAGCAAGTTAATTGTACAATTGTCACATCATTTTTAAAATCTTTCATTATTCTGCTGTTTTTCAAAGAGCCAATTTCAACATCACAAGTTAACATTCATGGCTTCAAGATGGCATAGAAATTTCACCTTGTCACTGTAGATCCATCACCCATGATTTTAATTCAAGATAGATCCCTCACCCATGATTTTAATTCAAGATAGATCCCTCACCCATGATTTTAATTCAAGATAGATGCCTCACCCATGATTTTAATTCAAGATAGATGCCTCACCCATGATTTTAATTCAAGATAGATGCCTCAATTCATGATTTTTAATTCAGGATAGATCCCCCATGATTTTAATTCAGATTTTAATTCAGGATAGATCCCTCACCCATGATTTTAATTCAGGATAGATCCCTCACCCATGATTTTAATTCAGGATAGATCCCTCACCCATGATTTTAATTCAGGATAGATGCCTCACCCATGATTTTAATTCAAGATAGATGCCTCACCCATGATTTTAATTCAGGATAGAGCCCTCATGCATGATTTTAATTCAGGATATTCCCCAATGAGGTTTGCTAATTCAGGAAAGCATGTAATAAATGACTATATTTTTATGATAATATCATGAAAGAGAGTCATCTTCCAGCACCTGTTAGGGTCCTCATTATGGGTAAATAGTTAGCCCCCAAACTGGCGTTAAAACACTGTAAGTGTAAAAATAGGTTTTAATACAAGAAATACTTTAATTTATTACCAACAATACATTTTTGAAGAAAACATTACCAGAAATAAAAATTTTGTCGGCATTAAATAACTTATTGAGGTTGATATGCCGTAAAACAAACCAAACCAAACAAAAAATTCACTGGTTGATCGAATGATTTGTTTATTTAATGGCATATCAACTCCTTATGGGTCATTTAATGCTAAAATTTAATTTTCTTGGGAGCTTTGAAGTAATAAGAATATGATATATGTTATTCTGCTTTCACAACTGAACAATTGAATGTCCAGTCGATGGTATTCTCAGCATCCTTCTGTAGAACCTCATTTTTTACTAACTTATTTAAATCTTCTCCCAAATGTTTTGTTTAAATCCCTTCCGACATGTTTCACTTAAATCCCCACCGACATGTTTTTAAGGAAGTTTTTTAATTCTAAGGATAATAGGTTTAAAAAAATAATTTTTGAACAGAAAAAAAAATAGCCTACAAGTAATGTAAGCTTTCATCTGGAGAATTAGGTTTGAAGAAAAAAAAATGTTATTTTGAACAACTAAAAAATAATTTCATGTGACAATCTATAGCTATTTCTAGGTATTTTCCATGCTTAGTTTCATCTAATGACAAAGAGATAAGAAGATTATGTAGCTCAAATCTTCCAAATGGGAATGGTTTAAGAAACACTATGCAAGATTTTAGTTTTCCCCTAAATATAAACCCTGACTATTTGTATGAAAGGCAATATATAACTACTTCAGCCTAGACATACACTCCTTTTTAGCTACTTCAATAGACACAAAACTTGTTTCATCCTTCTTTTTGGATATTTCTTTATAACATTGACATTTTAAGAACTTTGAATACCACATACCACATAGACAGTGAGGGATCATCAAATGTATCAGGACATTAGCTAAGACTTTATTCACTATGTCAAGATTACTAAAAAGAATTTATGGCAAACTTTAACTTTTGTGCCCACAAAAAAAAAAAAAAAAAAAAAAAAAAATCAGTGACTTAAAAGTAGAGCTTTTCCCTTGACACCACTATTATTTTGTATTATCTTCACTCCTGCAACAATGTTTATTTGCAAGATTATAAAAATATGCAAACCAAGTACAATGCAATATTTATTATTTAATTTTTATTATTTATTATATGAGATTAAAACAAACACATGTTAAAAATCACTACACAATAGCATTCATGTGCCTCTTCAGGCAATGGTAAATAACTGGTGAATAAATAATTATTTTTAAATTTCAAAAGCAGAATACCCCATTTTTTTTTTATTTTAGGTTCATTTTGAATTTAGCATAGGTCTGACACCTAATTGGTTAATAAGGGTAAACCCACAAGCCTCATTTTAATATTGATTTGTTGTTTATCTCATCTTCACTTCTCTTTTGAAAATAGGGAGGGCATTCTGTTTTGGAAAGGGGGTATCCTGATTTTGAAATTTGAAAATAATTATTTATTCACCAGTTATTTAATCATCGCCTGAAGAGGCACAACTTTAATGCTAAAACATGACAGCTATTGTGTTTTCAACATGTTTTTCTTTTAATCTCATATAATAAATAATATTAGGCTCTACTCTGTATTGAGCCCTTTTTTAAAAATTAAATGCTACAGGGAATTATACTTCATTTGTTCTTATCTCATACCTGGTTATTTAATTTTTATAAAAATTTATTATTTACCATTTTATAAAGAAATAAATTTGAAAAGAAATCTTTTCATTCAAAAAATTTTTTAAAATGACAAATTATCAAAATATGTAGACCATCTATATTTATTATTTACTATTTCATAAATAACTATGGAAACAAGTTTTGTATTCATAATTTTATAAAAAATATTAATGAATCAAAAGAAATTCAAAAAAAAGTTTTCTTTTCAAAATATATAATTACAGTTAGTTGTTGTTATCTCTTTATTTAAATTTTCTTGTTCACAGACATTTTCATAAATTTATGAATAAAAAAATTATTTTCATATTTATTTCTTTATAAATTGTTAAATGATAAACATTGTATAGTATTAGTTGGTTCATATTTTAACCCTAACACACTAACCATGGGTATATAGTACCCAGTGCAAATTTTCCTATTTTTAATTACAATTTTCAGTACCTGATTTTCTTACCTAAATAATGTTTTTCAGTTCCTATTAATGTTAACTCAAAGTACAAAGTTTGAAGTGCCTGCATGTAAAATATTTCAAATAAAGATTTATATTTAATATTTTTTTTGATATTTTCAATATTGGGTATGATATACCCATGGTTAGTAGTGGTGTAACTTTAATTGATGCTTAGTGTTCTAGGGTTAAGAATGCTTTAAATATAAAATTATTCTTGTAAATAAACAATCTAATTGTTTAATATTTTTATTGTAAATTCTCAAAGAACAAAAACATATAAATTCACTTTCATATGTTTGGGTTTTATTAAAATTCTAATTATGACGTTTTAAAACAACACACAGGGAGTGAAGGGAGTTAAAATAATAGCGGTATCAAGGGAAAACATCCTTTAGACACACTATTTTATTGTAGGCATGAAACAGTGATTTTCATAGTAATTGTATTCAGAATAAAGTGAAAAGAATGAAGACAAGTGCCACAGTCTTTTGTTTTATAACATTTCATCCAAATATTCTGAGTTCTAAAGAAATGACAATTTTTGATAAGTCTTTTTCAGCCTTAACAAAATATACATCTTTAATGTGTCTTTCTTTTTCAAAGTCATCAATTTTTAATGCCTGGAATAATGACCAAAATTGTTAAAAATTATGATTCTGGCAAATCTGATGCTCAACAACTATTTCATCCAGAAGAATTCTCTTAAAGTCTGCTTCACTTGCACTAAATATTCAGGTTTTTTAGGCAATGTTTTGACATTTTTGTGCAGCTGAATTGCATATGCAAATCATTTTTGCATGTAACAAACTCAATGAAAATCTATATTTTTATGTTTCAGAATCACCCAAAATTTCAAAATCTATATTTTGCATTTCAGAATCATTTTAAATTTCAAAATCTATTTTTTTTATTTTTCAGAATCACCCAAAATTTTAAAATCTACATTTTTATTTAAAAAAAAAAAAAAAAAAAAAAAAATCACCCAAAATTTTTAAATCTACGTTATAATTTTTCAGAATCACAAAATATTTCAAAATCTATATTTTTATTTAAAAAAAAAAAAAAAAAAAAAAAACACCCAAAATTTTAAAATCTACAGTATAATTTTTCAGAATCACCCAAAATTTCAAAATCTACGTTTTTAAAAATCACCCAAAATTTCAAAATCTACATTTATACATACTGAAATGCTTTTGCCCATAGGACAAGATATCCATCGAGAAGATTTGACTCTAATGTCATAGATACGTTTCCCACGGCAACGAAATTCATAACACATTCCTTGGGTTTCATAGGAGGCAGATGCCTAAAAAAGACACACAAAATAAAAAAAAATGTATTTCATTGGTTAATATTTTGATTGGATAAAATTACTCTAATGCCTTGATTAGGAAAATTAATGCTCCAGATTTTTATTTTTTCACTATGAGAAACTCTTATATAAGAGAGGTAAAATAGATTTTATGCAAATTAGTTCATATTATTGAAAGGAATTTAGACTTATTAAAAATACAATCAGGCTCCACATATGGAAAAAATGCTCTAAAGAAAACTTATTTAATTCAGTCAAAAAATGTAATGACTTTCTTTAGTTTATACAATAAATAAAAACTAATATGACAATATATTTATCATGATCTCCCTTATTTAGTAATATGATACACTATTGATATAAAAGGATTAGGCGTATCAGTATCAATTTTGTTGTGTTTATCTTTACTTCATACTGTTTGTGTATATTTCATTCTAGAAATGTTAGCATAATTTAAGTGCATATTAAAAAATTGGATATATTTCTTCTATGAGTCATGCCCATTCAGAACGTTGGTAACCATGGCTCTCCACAACTTCCTGTCCTTTGTAGCCCTTAGTAAATTTTGTCTCCTAAACTCTCTTCTGCCATCCATTTATACAAGCTCATTAGGCAGGTTATCCTTTGTTCCTCTTGCCTTCAGTATGTCTTGTGAGTGTCAAATTTTCCAAGCCCTCTTTCCTCATCATGTGCTCTAGAAATTTCAACTGTCTCTTTCTGATGCTATGTATATGTGGCCTTTTTGTTTCCATTTACTCTAAAATTTTGTCATTGCTCACATGTTCAATCCATTGAATTCTCAGCATCCTTCTGTAGAACCATATTTGTTGTCTCAAGTCTCTTCTTTATCTGTGATGAGATTGCCAAGTATTCATTGTGTTGTAACCTAGAAAAGGGTACTGAATAAGAATAACTAAAACGAAGGTTGGAAATGGAACGGTAATCTTTATAACATTAACAACATACAAGAATCGACTGTGGTGTGTAGTAAGTAATCCAATGCAAGTGGTGAATCCCGCCCCCAGACAGTATATTCCACTGTATTTATGAGGATTGGGACATAGACTGTACCTATGGACTATAATGGCTAACACATTGTCATATAAGAGGACCAATAATATATAACAATTCAGTACTTTTTTCTTTTTTTCCGATGAAATTTTCCAGTTTCTTAATACTTGCTTAACTTTTGGAAGGCATCTTTCACTATCCCAATACTCCTTCAGACTTCAGTGTCACATTTACCATCCTCTGTTAAAATACTTCCTAGATATTTAAATTTTTGCACATGTTTAATTTTGTTATGTCCAATTTGTAATTACTATGTTGGGCTGTTTCTTTTGCTAACAACCATACATTTTATCTTCTTACAGTTGATGATTAGTCCTTTCTTCTCACTTTCTTTTACTACCTTCAGTAGGAGTTCTTGTAGTTTCCTCTCTATATCTGCTATCAACACTGTAATGTGAATATCTAATATTAAGAGTGTTGCTGAGAATAATAAATCCTGCTAGGACTTCAAATTCTCTCAGGTTTGTTTCACTGCAAAGGTTGAATAAGTCTGGTGGGAAGACACACCCTTGTCTTATGTCCCTTTCTATTTTCGTATATTTACTGAATTCATTTTCTATCCTCATGCAGACAGTTTGCTCCCAGTATAAGTACTGGATTATTCTAATATTCTTCACAAATAAATCAAGCTTACCAAGCAGTTCAAATAGTTCTTTGTGACGTACCTTATCAAACACTTTTGCATAATTTATAAAACATAGATATCCTTTTGTATTTGTATTGCTCTTTCTGATATCACTCTGATAATAAATATTGCATTCATTGTTCCAGTGTCTTTAACAAAACCATACTTTTCTTGTTCTATTTCTGGACGAATTTTGCCACATACTTTATTCATCAGAATCGAGATGATGAGTATTGTTATGTGGCTCATTAGGCTGATTGTCGAATGGAGTTTGTATTTAATTGACCCTCGCTTCTTAGTCACATCTATGAGAATGGATCTATTTAAGTTTTAAGGTATAACATAACTGTTGTAAATTTCATTTATTATGTCTATAATTTTGTTAATGCTGAAATCATCTAAAACTGTCAGCATCTCTATTACCATTCCATCTGGTCTTGCTAGTTCATTTTCAATTTGTCCAGCGCTGGTTTCACTTCAGAACTTTAATATTTCAGGCCTATCGATATTTCTTTATATTGCTTGTTGTCCTCTTTCATCATGAAAGAATTCTCTGATGTATTCACTCCATCTTTGAAGTATTTTTACCTTCCTTAATATCAGCGTCTTGTCCTTGATTTTTATGTATCCTCTTGATGAGCAGGTCTTTTGTCTTGTGAGTTCTCATATTCTTTTTATCCATATCAGTTTTTATCTGTAATACTCATTCTTTCTATTTCTGTGCACTTTTTGTTGAGCCATGCCTCTTTGTCTGCCTGCATTTGTTCCTATTTTCTTTGTGCAATGTCCTATATTCTGTGCCATATCTTGGCATTGTTTGCTGTCCCCTCTTCATCATGTCAAGAATTTCATCTGTCATTCTGGAAAGAGATTGTCAATGGAGTTTCAACCAACCATAGGGAGGCCGAAGGATGATGATGATTTATACATGAATTTTTGCACTTACACAAACATATTTTATTTTTAGTGGATAGCCATATTTGAGTAGATGCTCTGTTTAATTTTAAACAGTATATTTATACCACGTTAGATCTAACAATAGTTTCTCCTATGACACATGTCCGTATCTTGCCAGAGAGTGTATATTTTTCTTAAATAAGATTTCTTGAATATTCAGGCTGATAGATAAAAATAAATATACTGTTTCCAATAAACAGAGCATCTATTCAAATATGGGTATCCACCAAAAAAAAAAAAAAAACCATTTAATATGACAAAAATATATATCTGTCTATATTTCTGAGTAAAAAATATTCAATACTGGTGCAGGCAAGCTAGAAGTTGGCTCCATCAGAGGGGGCCCATAATTTCATTAGCCCAGGGGTTATAACCCAGCCAAGCAAAAATCGTAATGAGAAATGTGTTAAGAAGGTAACTGAACCTTGCTTTCCTGTGAAGTCTTTTCTTGCTGAGTGGTCTGAAGCACACTTGGTCCAAATACACACATATATATGTTTAAGAAAGAAAAAAAAAGTACTTACATCTTTGGTGATATTAGCCATAAAACACCTGCTCCTGTGTGAGAACAGTTCTCCTCCGTGTTTAGGAGAATTCTTCACTGGTATTGAACAGCGGTTCTACAATAATTATATTCAACAAGAGTATGAGAGATAATCAAATATATTTGTTTTTTTGAAAGTTATTTTTTGTGATATTGCAATTTTAAAAAAAGTCAGTTCACAATATTTTTTAATATATTTTAGGTTTGAATACTATGTACAAAAGCATATAATGTCATTTGAGTCAAGTATAAATCCAACAAATGTTTAACTTTTGAGTCAAGTATAAAACAGACCAATCTTTACTTTTTGACTCAAATATTGTTTGTGGGACAAATATACTTGGGACCAGTAAATATTTACTGAAAAAGGTCCACACCTCACAACAAAAGTGGTGGTTTCCACAACAGGAATGAAATAAAAAAAAAAAAGAAAGGAGAAATCAAGGGAAATAACTGGGTGCAGAAAACATGTAAGACTAGGCAAAACTCTAGACATTTTAAATGTATATTCAGGCTTACTTACTTCTGCTTTACTCTGAAATATTCCACAAGGTTCCAGAAAGATTCCACTTTGACAAGTAGCTTTGTCACGATGCAAAAAATGGCATCCTTCCTGACTACAAAATAAAAAAAAATATATATATATAAAAATGAACAAAGAGTAAAATAAATATATTAATATATATATAAGGGTATCTTTATATAAGGGTATCTTTTATTTTATAAGTTGTAGAAAACAAATCATTCAATCTTTCTTGCTTTCTTTTAATCTCTGTCTATATTTCTGAGATGAGATATTGTAATTATTTACAGCATTTACATTGTTCGGACTGTTGTCCTCATCTTTATTGTCATGTTCATGTTTCAGCTGTTGTACGCTCCTGCCTTCTTCAGGTGATTGGAATTTCAAACTGAACCCTTTATTTTGTCCAGGTATGGATGTCTCAGTTATCTCCCTTTTAACTCAATTCTCCAAGTGAACACCACTGCCATAGCCAGGTATTGAACTCACATCATTGGATCCAGCCAATGCTTTTATCCACTGGGCCATGGGTCCTTCAGAACATTAGTGTATGAATTTTAGGACACATAATCATTTTTTTACCAGAGCTCATATTGAAATTTTTGTTTTTATAATTGCTTTTTTCTAGTACTCCGTATTACTGGTTCCCATATTGTATTCATTTCTATGCTTGGCTGGCTCAGGAGATTTTTGTTGCCTAACATATGTGCTGATTCCTTAAGTTTTCATAATTTCAGTGATGTTATGGAGGGAAAAGGTCCCCTTGTGGTTGAAATAATAGACAGAGAACATCACTGGAAAATATGAAAATAACCGAGACATCTGGAAGAGATAGACGAAATAAAGGGTTCAGTTCGAAATTCCAATCACTTGAAAAAGGCCAGAGCATACAACGGCCAAAACATTGTGAACATGACAATAAGGATAAGGACAAGAGTCCGAACAATGTAAATAATGTAAATAATTACAATACCTCATCTCAGAAATAGAGACAGAAATTAAAAGAAAGCAACAGATTGATTTGTTTCCTACAACTTATCAACCCTATATGGGTTATTTAAAGCCAAAAAATACGTTTTAGATTGTAACAATTTTTTTTTAGATAATAATGGTTTTAGTGATACAAATCTTACTAATTAACCCATAGATGGGAGAAAAGAGGTGGATTCATACCATTCGTCAAGGGTATTTGTGTATAAGTGAATATAATGTACCTAATGGGAATTGGAACTTGGCTCTCCAATTAACAATTCTGAGCCATTATCTATTACACCACCTGCACATCCAAGCTTACAGTAGCTGATATTCCCAAGTAGTCACCCATTTAGATACTGACCCAACTTGATGTTGCTTAACTTCACTGATCAACATGATGCGAGTGTAAGCCTTTTTTTTTTGTTTGTATGTGGAATGTTAATGTTTTGATTATGTCATTATTTTCTCTCTTGAGTTATGCGTGATATTTGGACACTGGTATGGAATGACAAATACCTAATCATATCATTTCATGGTCAAAGGCCAAAGGAAAAATGAAGAAAATAGAAAATGAGAATAAAATTAAAAGAGAAATTGGTATTTCCAAGTGGTTATCCATTTAGGTACTGACCAGTCTCAATGTTTCTTAATTTCAGTAAAGAGAGAAAGAAAAGTGAGAGAAAGACAGAATAATAAATTGAAAAGAAAGAAAGAGGGATAGGTTAAGAGAAAGGAAGAAGTGAGAGAAAGACCTAGAGACTATAGACTAGTAATGGATTGAGCTGATGCTATTTTGCAAACTCCAAACTGGTGAGGTTCATTACTAAAAACTTTCAGAAAAAAGAAAAACATTTTCATGAACTAAATAAATATCCTCATTTTTTATGATTTAGATCACAACATTCCCAAAGTGTACAGCTGAATTCAGTAATCTATGCAAAGTTTTAAACAATCATCTTAATTTTGTTTGTATTTTTGTTTTTACTCTTTTTGCCCCCAAATAAGATTTTTTTAATTTTTATATATATATATATATATATATATATTATTTAGAAAAATAGTATGACAAATAAATAAAAAGTTTATGTGATGCATTTCATCCAGTAGGATTTCATTGGACTAGGCTTTGTTGATGTTGAGATAGATATAAACAGACAGACATAGATAGATAGATAGATAGATAGATAGATAGATAGATAGATAGATATAAACAAACAGACATAGATATAAACAGACAGACATAGATAGATAGATAGATAGATAGATAGATAGATATAAACAGACAGACAGGGAAAGATAGATATAAACAGACATGGATAAATAGATAGATATAAAAAAAGACAAGGATAGATAGATAGATAGATAGATAGATAGATAGATAGATATAAAAAGACAGGGATAGATAGATATAAAAAGACAGGGATAGATAGATAGATAGATAGATAGATAGATAGATAGATAGATATAAGAAGACAGGGATAGATAGAATAATATGTACTGAGATAGGTATATAGAATAATATGAACAGACTAAGATAGATGTAAACAGACAGAGATAGATAGACAGACAGATAATTTTGTTAAGTCTTTACTATTATTAAGTTTTCATACGTGATCCTTGAAAGATATTTGACCGCATCTAATTGCTATAATCTATCGCCCTTTTTTTCTTCTCTTCCTGAATAAAAGTAGAGTCATTACTACATTACAAAATACAATGAAATTATTAAATAAATCGGTATAATCAATTTTCTTTTCCTTACCTTCCTGAACAGAAGTATTTGGTGTCATTAATACACATATCGAGTTGGCCAAAGGAACAACCCTCACCTGCACAAAAAATAAACAATAAATATAGATAGGTAAATAATGGAATAATGTACAAACCTCAAAAGATTTTACATTATGTTTACTGACCTCATATTCAAAATATACATTTTGAAACTGACAGTCACTATGCACTGTTGATTTTTATGCCCATACTGACTATATACAGGTGTTTGTGGAGGTGTATCGGTATGTGTGCGCATATATATAATAAAACACTTTTTACAGACAAGGTTTACCATGTCCAGGAAAAGGTTACAATTAAAAAGTGCTCAATACACAATTAAAAATCGAAAGTCCTGAGCTCATTAAGATCTAAAAAATTACAAACACTAACCTTTTCCACTACAGCAGTTTCTAACAATGAAGGCTTCTCAGGCAGTGAAAAGCTTTTTTCACTGCTTGAGGAAACCTTTATTGGCCGAGGACAGCGTAGAAGATTCGGAAAGAGTTGGATGAGTCTAATGCTGATTACATAGATATGGCAGCTTGGAAAGCACACTGATAATTTTGATAAGAAGAAAACTCCTGAATTTGTTGGTGAGGGCCTCAGACAACATGAAGGTCTACATCAAGTGCCTTGACGAGGTAGTGCTGCCCTGGGTCAAGAAGGTGGCTTCTGGAAGACATTATGTCTGGCAACAGGACTCTGCACCATGCCACACAAGCACTGAACTGAAGGCAAGGATTATGGCAGTAACCACCAACTTAAACAAGGAGACCGTCCAGATGAGTTGCAGGAGATTCTGAAGTCATCTGGAAGCTGTGGTTGAAGCCAATGAATAAATTTATTATTTAGTATTTCAAGATATTTTTGTGTAATTTTGGTAAATACATCTGTTAAAATGAGATGTCAGTGTTATTTTCATAGACAATTTACCCATCGCACCATGTGTATATATAAAATAATCAGAAATCCTGAGTTGCCAACCTGTAATCTAACTTTTTTTCGCCCAAAAAGAACAGATTACCAGATGACTATGAATGATCAAAGGGCAAAACCTAAATTAGTTTCCCATTTGGCGTTCCTTTATACTAGACATTGAACATTGAGAGATAATAATTATTTATCTTAAATGAAGTAGAAGTGGACATATACTTTTATTAATAGAATTTTTTGTACTTTAATTAAAAATACATCCATTTGTCTTTATTTAAAAGAAATATTTTTATAAGAAAAAGTGTCTGTTTTCCTACGTAAAACAGCTTGGTCTAATAACAATGTAAAAAGTTAGGGATCAATTTTATACTGTATCGATATTATGAACAGAACTCCAGCTTCTAAAATAATTTAAAAAAAAAAAAAAAAAAAAAAATCAATACTTTTCAATTGACCTAAGGAAAATCTAAAAGATGCGAATTTATAAAACTTATTGCCCCCCACCGACCAATTTTGCCCTATTTTTTACTAGTTAATCATTCTACTTCAATAGGATGAAGTAAAAGTTGCACACCATTAACTTATTAAAAGTATAATTAACCATGAAGATATTATTTACTAGTTATTTAATATGTGTTGTTCAAAATGTCCTCCTTGTTTTTCACAACACATTTCAATTCTTTGCCTGCATGATTTATTAATATGTCAGAGATGTTCTTCTGTCATTTTATGGCATTCATATTTAATTCTTTCTTTAAGTTCCTCAATATTACTTGGATGTGTCTAATAAACAACAGATTTCAAATGGCCCCACAGAAAAAAAAAATCCAAGGGTGTGAAGTCTGATGAACTCAGTGATCACTCAACAGGACCCATCAAAACAAATTAGATATTTAAAACATAATTAATTGATTCCTATGGTGTGTGACTTTTGCCTCATCATGTACATTATATATTATACACACAAACACACACAGTGAGAGACTGTGTGTGTGTGTGTGTGTGTGTGTGTGTGTGTGTGTGTGTGTGTGTGTGTGTGTGTAATTCAGGTATGAATAAAAAATCTAAAAGACAATATGAATAAAGACAAAAGAAAAACATTTCTTTACCAACACATTTCGTCCTCTGATGTAATTCAGCATTTATTAGGCATTATATTACATCACTTAGCATCATCCATAGTTTACCTTGACTTTCAAAGTTTAGCCTGAAGAATATTTACAAGAATTCTTCAGTTTAAAAATTTCAAAAACCTAACATTGTTTTTTTAATTCTGTTTAAAAATACATGATACAAAATAAAATCCTTACATTTGTCTTGATAAAGTCCATCATAAGACAAAACAAGTCGGTAAATAATGGTTTTCCTTTTGTTTTTATTCATATGTATGTGTGTGTGTGTGTGTGTGTGTGTGTGTGTGTGTATTTGAGCAGGAACCTTTCTTTTAAACATCTTTCATTAAATATGGCAGATAAGGAAAATTTTATTAATGTTTTTATTTAGTTTTTCCACACATATATATATATATATATGGCCTGAAGCATGAAAGTGACTGTTGCTGCTGGGTGTTGACTTCAATGTCCACTTTTATATTTACATATATATGCTCTGTCCCTGATATTGAGCACTTTTATTTTTAATATAGCATACCTTGGAAATATATTTTTATCATATATATATAAAATGAAACTTGCTCTAACCTCACCAAGCAAGACCTTCTACAATGGGCCAAGAACCAAAAGTTCTTCCATATTGTTCACTGCAAGACAGTCTTACTAACCTCTGCACTACAGTAGTCACATAATAATGGTTATATTAATTATTTGCAAATATCAATAGATTGATGTGTAAGTGTGTGTGAGAGAGAGAAGGTATGTGCACAATGAGGAAGAAAAGAAAGAATGAAAAAAGAGAATGTTAAAATTTACAAGTCTTCACTTAATCTTACATCAGACAATAAAAAAAATTGCTTGCTGAACGTTACTTTACAGCCATTACATGCCGTTCCAATGTCTTAGCTACGCATAATCAAAGGGAGACAACCGTTATTACCTTTGCCCCATAAGAATTTATCAGAGGCTGAATAGTTCACTCTGTACCAACCACTATCCTCGAACACAGCTAACGTAATTGGATCCACAACGGTTTGGTGTGGCTGAAAGCAGACAAGAGACAAAATGATATGCACATAACAACAAAATAATTGACCAAAAATAGAGATTAACATTTCATTCATAAGAAAGTGAGTTTTGTTTATAACGTCAAATTAACTTTTATTTTGTTCCATTTCAAATCAATAACTCATCACCTGAAATTAAAAACAAGGTTCCGCTAATATGGACCTTTATGCCCCCCCCCAAGTCTTTCAAAAGGGCGGTTTTACCATTCAAATTGCTATTATTTTAACTACATTCACTCCCTGCATTTTGTACCTGATAAAATTAATAAACCTTTTTTTAAAGTTGAGTACTGAACTGCTACGTGACATCTGTCCTCCTTTACGACAGCGAATGTTGGATGGTCTCTTCAAAAATGAAGAAGAGACTCAAAGCAACAGAGGTTTGGTTCTACAGAAGGATGCTAAGGATACCATGGATCAAACATGTGAGCAACAATTTTGGAGAGGATGGAAACAAAGAGGAAGCTTATACATAACATCAGGAAAAGGCAGCTGAAATTTCTGGGATATGTAATGAGAAAGCAGAGCTTGGAAAATCTGATACTCACAGGGCAGATAGAAGGAAAAAGGGACAAGGGAAATCAACGCATGACATACTTAACAGACATAAGCAAGTGGATGGCAGAACAGGGTCTGGGAGAAATAACAAAAAGACAAAATTTATTGAGAGCTACAATGGACAGGAGAAATGGAGAGCCATGATCACCTATATATATTTAAGGGAAATAGCCCATAAAAGAAGAATCACCCCAAGCAAGGCAGTACAAGCACTAGCATACAAGGATGTGGACAAATTAGAAACAGAAACATTAGTAATCAGAGGAGAAAGAGAAAAGAGCAATCAAGAGGACTGTAGATAGCAATTAATTTTTTTCAAAATTGTTAATTAGTTACTCATTATCTGTTTATTTAAATTTTCTTGTTCATAGATATTTTTTATAAATTTATCACTAAAAAAAATTATTTTCATATTTATTTCTTTATAAATGATAATAAATGATAAAAATGATAAACAGTGCATTTTGGTTCACATTTTAAGAATGTTGTAAATATAAAATTATTTTTGTAAATAAACATTCTAATAAATAAATGGTGTTTAAATTTTTCTTGTAAATTCTCAAAGAACAAAGAAAATGTATAAATTCATGTTTGGGTTTTTATTAAAATTCTACTCATCACTTTTTAAAATAAATATTGCTAAGGAAGTGAAGGTAGGTAAAAGTGTCAATTATTTGATGTTTTAAAATTTATTGCATTGTTGATGGTTTTACATATTTTGATAACTTTGCTATTTTTTAATTTTTTTTTTCTATTTTTGAATAAAATGATTTCTTTTTACATTTCTTTATAAAATGATAAATAATAAATCTTTAGAAAAAGGTAAATAACTTTTTATAATCTTGTAAATAAACATTGCCAAGGGAGTGAAAGTAGTTAAAATAATAACGATGTCAATGGAGAAACTGTCCTTCTGAAACACCATTTATTTTTTTGTGGGCATGAAGGTCCATGTTTGCCAATTGAAATATTTCACTTCAAAGTTTGGCTAACCATAACGTTTTTCTTAACAGAAACATGTCTTCACAAAGTATATATAATTTAATCAGGATTAAATGAAGAATTTTGTACAAAACTTAAGAGGTCATATTGGACATTGCAGAGAGAACAGGCCATGGGCCAGTACTAAAAATATAAAAATAAAAATAAATGAAAATCACAGATAGAAGCTTTTTAAAATTAGCAGATGAACTATTCAACTGTTTATTTTGAAAGATTCCATAACTGTTTCCATATATATTATTCTTACATATTTTATATACAATTCTTAAAGTCATCATAATCAGGTCGAGAATTCTTGTTGGATTCTCCTAACTTGCTCCTTCCAACCATCTCTGTCAGACATCGCTGTCAGCAGGTCCTCCAGATGGCATCCAGAGTCATCTACAAGTTGGTCAATGTACATGTGATGAGGTCTTCCAATCAATCTTTTGTTGCACAATGGGTTCCATAGAAGGGTGTCACTCACTTACTTCTTCTGACTTACTTCTCCAGGAGTGAACAGTTATCCGAAGCCTTCTCCCTCTTAGCGAAATTGATACAAGAGGAAGATGCCCATACAGGTGTTTCTTTGTTGGGTGTTTCTTCCAGCTGATGTTCAATGCAACTCGTAACGTCCTTGCGTATGTTGTGTCAAGTGATGCTTCTTGGTGTTTCATCAGTGTCCATGTTGTTGAGCCGTAGAGCAAGACAGATTCTACTGTGGCCTTAAAGAAGTCCTTTTTGAAGATTGTCAGAGAGGAAGGACTTCCAGATGGGGCTCAGACCATCTAGAATACCTCAGAAAGATTCAAATTCCTAGAGTAAAATATATTATTTTCGTCCTAAAATTTATTCTGTATTTGTACACTATTTACATTATTCGAACTATTGTCCTCATCTTTGTCGCCATGTTTATCACAATGTTTCAGACGTTGTATGCTCTGGCCTTCTTCAGGTGGATAAAATGTCGAACTGAACCCTTTATTTCATTAACTGGGGTAGACTGTTCTAGTTCCACGTGCCATGTCTAATGGATGTCAGTTATCTCCTCTTAATTCCCCTCTCAAATTTCTCCACTCCCTTAACCAGATATTGAACTCATATATCTTTGGGTCCTGTCACTGGATGCAACTAATGCCTTTATCCACTGTGCCATGTGTCCTTGAGGCACAGTGGATAAAGGTGTCAGGGGCAGGGGTCTTGTTTTAATTTACAAAATTTGAAAACCATCATGAGTGTAAAAAAAGAAAAACTCCTTTATAAAAATAATCCATCTAAATGTATATGTACTAATATGGAAAAAGAAAGAAGATTTTCTATAATTTATGCATATTATTTGGAATACACCTTTTGAGTCGGACAGTATTGGAAAGTGGGGGATGAGATTATGATTTATGATGAAAAGGATGCATTGGGCAAAAAATGGTTGAGAACCAGTTATAAATGAAGAGTAAAGAAGGTTGATTGTACATTTTATATTCACTGATACTGTTTGACCAAAGAAAATTATCCTTTTCCTACAAACAATTCTTAAGAAGTGCACATATTGAGTGAACTTGAAAGACACTTCTTATATTTTTCTAACACTGTGCTGAGAACTTTTTCATCAACCTCATAAAATCAAAATTTCTGTTCTTAGTTTGATGATACCAATTTACTCTATGAAGACTAGAATGCAGATGAGTCAATACATTACAACAAACAACAATCAAGTCAGCCTCAAACATTTTTACAGTTACTTAGAAATAGTTACATACCAAACCAACAGTAGGAACCATAATAGAACTCTCCATCATCCGAGGGTCCCAGTGAGACTGTATCTCCCCATCCTGCAATGAAAAAAAAAAAAAAAAAAATTTAAAAAAAAAATAATAATTATAAAAATAAAATAAATAATAAGGCTAATATTCCCAGCTGACATGAACTGGAAAGACTATATTGAATCCATTGCTAGGTTAGCTGCTAAAAAAGTATGTTCACTGTGCCATGTAAGACAATTTTTCTCTCCATAATCTTTCTTACATATCTATGTTTACCATGCTTAGAATATTGCTGCCATATATGGCCCGGTGCCCCTGCTATTTACCTTGAGCTTGTTGATAAGATCCAAAAAAGAATCTGCAATATTATTGGTCCTGATCTGGCAGCTTGGCTTCAGTCACTTTCCCACTGCCATAAGGCTGACTCTCTATGTCTTTTCTATAAATGCTATCATGGTAATTATTTGAATGAGCTTTTCAACTATAGATTTGTATTCATATTGTAAATTCTCATTGGGGTTAGTTTTTAAATTTTTGTTTTATTCCTCTCCTTGCACAAACAATGAATTGTACATATGAGGTTTAGTTAGGACTTTCATGGAGACAATGAGGTATTATGATGGATGTAGTAAGAAAGGTAAGTAAGAATGAGTTGTTTTGGTATTAGGAATATTGTTGTATATTTGGGTCAGTGTTTGTGGCTAGCTAAGTTTAACGTTAGGACAGAAGAAGACTGTCCTTTTCCCCATTCCCCATTTTGGCCTTGTGCCACATTTTCTGTACATAGCAGAAATAAATATCACTCTTCGCTATGATACCTAAACTTTATGAATTTAAGTGTAGGACTAGACTGGCGGCAAGGTTTCATCAATTTACTGTTGAGCTGGCTAGATATAGCCATAAGTTCTATGCTAACAGTTTTTCTCACACTTCTCACTTGTAGAACTCCCTTCTGGCTCCATGCTTTCCAGCCCAAAATTTAAATGCAATGTCAATCGCTATCTACTGTCCTCCTGATTACTCTTTTTCCACTCATTATTAATGTTTCTGTTCCCAATTCTTCCACACCCAGTAACCCCTTATGTCTTAGGGACTTTACTGCATTGCATGGAGTGAAACCGAAAAAAAAAACCCCAAAAGAATAATATTAACACTATAGGCCAAAAGTTTGGGACCACCCTCTAGGTTTAATAATCAGTTTTCTTTGGTTTAATTAACTCCTATTAAACTAGGATGCTGAAACTAAACACATTAGTGCATGGCATCCAAATTTTTAGCAACAACTTCCTCTTTGCATTAAGAAAGGTGTGGTCAGTATGACAGTGATTACAGAGACTGGTCAATTTTTGTCCTTAGCATATGTGAGGGTTCTCATGCATATGTGCATGAGAACCCTCACATCTTGCCTTAGTGCAATGCTTCTCAAATTATATATGATATTGCAGACTGGCATTTTTTTTTCTCAATGTGTAACATACCTGTAATATTTCGAGGTAATATTAATTTATACCGGAAACGATACATATTATGAATATAATAAAAGTTGACTATTTTTTTATCTTCCATTTATTTTGCAAAAAATAATTCAATATTAAAACATCAAAAGTGAGTGTGAAAGAAGAGAAAACATTTGTGAGAAAAAACAAAAAAACAATCAAAATAAAAACAGGACTCAGGGAGACAGAATATGACAACTAACACTGCATTTAAACTTTTGAAGATCATAGGTGACAGGAAAATAAGAATCCAGAAGAGATTTCCACAAATGAGAACTGCAAGATAATAAAAAAAACAATTCGAACAGAACACGTGGTTACAACTAGTTATTTCAACAGTAAAACAATGTGACATAGTTACCAGCCTAGTACTAAGTCTAAAATTATGTGGTCAAGGCATGAAGTAATAAATGAAGAGCTCTCTAGAACAATTATCATGAAAATATTTATACAAAAGACACAAGGAAGTCACACTATGGCAATGGGAAAGTGACTGAAGTTGAGATGCCAGGTCACCACCAATAACATTACAGACATTTCTTTGGATTTTATCAAGAATCTTGAGATATATAGCAGAAGCTTAAAGATGTGGAGAAGAGATACGACACATATATTATACCATCCTCCCAAGACTGTGGTATAATTGAATGCATTTCTGACAGCATTGACAAGGCTCTCTCTCTCCATCAGTTTGCTCACATATTCGTGTTGGGTGATTTTAACGCCCTTCATACCAAGTGGCTTAAAAACGCTACTACTGACCTTGCGGGCATTCAAACCCTTAATATTTCAATTTCTCAATCCCTCACGCAGATAGTTGACTTCCCCATACATTTTCCCTACAACCGGGACGGTAAGGCTTCTCTTCTCGATCTATGTTTTACCTCCATCCCCGAGTCCTGTAGCGCCACGCAGCTCTGCCCTCTTGGCAATTCTGATCATGCTGTAGTGTCTATCAACATCTCCAACTCCAACCCCTGCAATGAACCTCCTACCACTAGAACCCCGTTCTGCTATCAACGAGCAGACTGGGACTGGGACTCGTTCTGGGATTTTCTTCACAATGTCTCCTGGGATGTTGTCTTTACGCTCCCCGTTCAAGAACGTGTTTCCGAGGTCGCCCCTTGAATTAAAGCTGGAATCGAGGCTTTCATCCTCTCAAGGAAATATATGGTCAAATCGCACTCCTCCCCTTGGTTCTTGGCTGCTTGCTCAGCTGCCAGTGCCCATAGGAAACACTTCTTCCATCTGTGTGTCCTCAATGAAGCAAAGTCACTATTTGCTGCTCGAATGAAAGAACGTATTGCATCTCACAAATTCGGCTCCAAGGATTATTGGCGTCTCTGCAAGAGCGTACTTAACAATAGCAAACCCTCTATACCTCCTTTGTTCAACCAGTTCGAGGTCCTGACCTCTTCTGCCATCAAGGCTGAATGCTTTGCTCGGAAATTCTCATTCAATTCAACATTCAACTCTTCCGGTGTACCCACACCCGATTTCCTCCTTAGAAGTGAGGCTCTATTGAGCAAGCTGCACATAACCCCATCATTGGTATTGGGCATTATCTCTAATTTAGACTCCTAGACTAGTGGTGGAGATGGGATACCAGTGGTGGAGATGGGATACCAGCCACTGTCCTGAAGAAATGTGCACCTGAACTGGCCCCTGCCCTCTCCAAATTATATAACTACTGCCTCAATGAATCTTGTTTTCCAGACTGTTGGAAGTCCTCATCCATTGTTCCTGTCTTTAAGAACTCTGGTGACCTTGCTGACGCTTCTAATTACCGTCCTCCTATCAGTCTCCTACCCCTCTTTGGCAAAGTCTTCGAAGCTTTAATCAACGCCGCAGTGGTTAAGCACCTTACATCCCATGATCTGCTCTCCGACAAGCAATATGGTTTCTGCATTGCCCGATCTACAGCTGATGTGTTTACGGCCATCAATGAAATTGTTTACCAAGCTCTTCATAATAATGGAGAAACTCATGCCATGGCTCTAGATATCTCCAAAGCGTTTGATAGGGATTGGCATGCTGGCCTCCTTTGCAAATTTCAGGTTGATTGTTTGACTTAATACAATCATTCCTGTCAAACCATGTATTGAAGGTCATTCTCAACGGATTCTCCTCAAGCTCCTATCCCACGAATGCAGGTGTTCCCCAAGGCCCCATCCTAGGCCCTACTCTGTTCTTTATCTTCATCAACGATCTTCCTGACATCATAAATTCCCAAGTAGGTATTTCCGCAGACGACACTACAATTTACTCCTGTCTCAAAAACAAATCTAGTATTGTTGACAAAACTAACCTGGCCGTTTATCTCGAAAAGGACCTCCAATCGGTTGTGAACTGGAGCAGGAATTGGCTAGTTAACTTTAATGCCTCAAAAACAAAACTACTGCTCTATTACTCACCACAGAAAACTATCCCTGCCCCCAATTAGAATGTCTGACGCTCAACTCCACAAGAGCACCCCTTTGCAACTGCTCAGCCTCACATTGACTGCTGACCTGAGATGGAACAAATACATTGAGTCAATAGCTTCATCCACCACAAGGAAAGTTGGCTCCCTGTGCCGCGCCAGGAAATTTTTCTCTCCAGAGTCAATCCTTTAAATCTACAAATCAACCATTTGCCCTTGGAGTATTGCTGCCATATATGGTCTGGTGCCCCTTATGTTTGTCTCAAGGTTCTTGATAAGATCCAGAGATGGATATGCAACGTAATTGGCCCTGATCTGGCATCTCGTCTGCAGACACTCTCCACAGATGTGCCGTCGCCTCCCTCTGTCTTTTTTACAAATACTTTCATGGTAACTGCTCTGAGGAGCTGCTTTCGCTGGCTCCCAGACTTCATGAATTTAAGTGTTCTACTAGGCTGGCATCTCACTCACGCCCTTTCACTGTCAAAACTGTTAAATGTAGCCATCTCTTCTACTCCAATAGCTTCATGTCTCGCACATCTTGCCTGTGGAACTCCCTCAACTCTTCCTGTTTCCCTGATAGCTGTAATCTCCTATTATTCAAATGTAATGTCAAGCCCTGATCTATCCCTTATCCTTCTCTTCATCCTTTCCTCTATCACTACTATTTGCTCTCGCTCCAATGCTTTGTAACCCCTTGCGTGCTAGTGATTTCCTGCATGAAACGCTTAAAAAAAAAAAAAACCATCATAGCAAATATGCCAGCAATATTCAAAGCATGGATGAATGGTAGATTTATAAACATGTAAGATCAATTCTGGCATTAAAAATTATCTAGCACAGCACAGTGAACCTTTCCTGGCAGCAGACTTAGCAATTGATTCAATATAAACTTTCCACTTCATGTCAGCTAAAAATTAGAGGACAAGATGGCACAATGAGTTGTTCTCCTGGAGAATGACATCAGCCATCCTATTGGAATGCAGAAATGGTTCTCTAACAAAAAGACAGCAAATTCATATCGAAGGTATTAAAATTAACAAGATATTTTTTGCCCCAGATAACCACGGCATGCAGCAATAAACGGCATCATCAGAAGAGGTTTGGATACAGCTGGGTTCCCTTCCTAAATCGAACCCATAGGCCTCGACCTTGGTGATAGAAAACGGTCTGATGGAATTACCATTTTCCCTTTTAAAATGGGGAAGTCATTGATTTGGGATGTGACCTGTGCGGTTAAATTTTCGGACGGTAATTTGATCAGGTCCAAGGTTGAGCCAGGGTCCATCGCCCAGGACACAGAGATGAAAAAATAGTTAAATAAGCTTCTCTTGCTGATAGATTTTTTTTTTTACTCCTGTGACAGTGGAGACTTCTGGGGTTATTGGCCCTCATTCGATGACATTCCTTCAGAGGATTGGCACAATGGCGTCTCGATTAAGGGACGAGCCTCGTGAGACAGAGTGGCTCTTGCAGCATGTCTCACTGGCAATGGTTCGAGGTAATGCTTTCTCCATCATTGCGGCTGGCAGAGGATAGAAAAAAAATTGTTTATAGTTACCTTTTTTTTCAATAACCACAGATTGGAGATCATTTGCCAGCTGATTAACTGCCAGTTTTACTTTATCAGACCTATCGGATTTACTAGTAGGACAGGAGTAAATAGTCATGTCATCAGAATAAATACTGAGATGGTAACTGAGATAAGATAAGGAACAATGTAGGTCCAACGATAGAGCCCTGGGGTACACCCACATTAATTTGAAAAGACCTCGAAGAGAACCAACTGCAATTGGAACTCGGCTATAAATAAACAGATAATAAATGATTTACTGATATGTTTTGCTACTTAACCCATAGCTGGAGGGAAAATAAGTGGATTCATACCTTTCCCAGGGGTATTTGCACATAAATGAATATAACTAACCCAAAGGGAAATTGAACTCAGCTCTCTGATTAACAATTCTGGACTATTATCCATTACCCCACCTGTACATCCAAGCTTACAGTAGCTCGTATTCCCAAACAGTCACCCATCTAGGTGCTGTCCATGCTTGACATTGCTTAACTTTGGAGATTGTTTCAATGTGATGTGGCCATAAACATTTTTTTTTTTTTCGCAGTAATGTGGAATGTCAACATTTTGTTTGTGCCATTATTTTCTCTTTGGCTTAATGCGTGATATTTGGACGCTGGTATGGAATGACAAATATCTAATCATAACATTTCGTGGTCAAAGGTCAAAGAAAAAAAAATGAATAAAACTGAACAAGAGAGTTAATGAGAATAAAATTAAAAGAGAAATGTTCTTTTTTTCCCTACCTTGGTTTCCATCAGTACCCCATAGTTGATGCTGCTGTTACAACCAAAATGTTGCCGGGCTTTTTTTACAACTGAAGGCAGAATCAATTTCTGAGGACTGCTTTTAATGGTTGTATCAGTTATAAAAACACAAGGAAGTTCACTGTCCTCAACAGCTGGAAAAGAAAATTCTTTAAATTAATATACATACACATATAATTCTTTAATTTAATATACATACACATATAATTCTTCAAATTAATATACATATACACACATATATATATACAACAGCAAAATTGTCCAATTGTTAGATTAAACTTTGAACCATTGTATCTTAGAAATGATTAAAGATATCTTACTGGAATTCCCCAAGTTTTTATAACACTATTGGATTTTACTTTGAGCAATAGCTAAAAATCAGAAGCTCATCAAGTATTGAAATAGTTCATATATATATCAGGTCATCCCATAAGTTCTGTCCGAATTTTAACTTTTTGTTAAAATTTAAAGAGTATTTTATAATGTCTAATGGAGCTGAATATCTTTTTTATGTTTAGATGCATTTAAACTGATCAAATTTTATTTCAGAGAACAATAAAATAAAATTTTGTTTGATTAAAACCCTGCTAACATGGAAGTACCCAAGAATCATTTGAGGCACATAATGCTTTATGAGTTCAAGAAAGGAAACTCAGCAGCCGAAGCCGCTAGAAACATTCACTCAGTTTATGGAGAGGAATGTGTGAATGAAAGAAATTGCAGAAGATGGTTTGCAAAATTCAGAGGTGGAGATTTCACCCTTGAAGATAAAGATCGAACCGGACGTCCAGTTGAATTTGATGAAAAGCTTCTTGAAACAGCCCTTGAAGAAAATTCTCACCAACTTGTTTCACCTTTTTTGGATAGACTTGTGACTGGCGACGAAAAATGGATCTTTTATCGAAATGTTAAGCATCGTAGACAGTGGCTTGGTAAAGGGGAAGGACCCCAGCCATAGCCGAGAAGGGAACTTCATGGGCAAAAGGTTCTTCTTTCAATCTGCTGGGATCGCCAAGGAATAATCCACTTTGAATTCTTACCACCTAATGCAACAATTAATGCTCAAATATACTGTCAGCAATTAGAGCTTTTGAACCAAGCTTTGAGGAAAAAAAGACCTGCTCTAGTGAATTGTAAAGAGGTGATGTTTCATCAGGACAATGCGCGACCCCACACAGCAAGAATCACATCACGATAGATTGGTTGGGAGAAAATTCCTCATCCACCTTATTCTCCTGATCTTGCTCCTTCAGACTACCATTTGTTTTGTAGCTTACAGAATCATTTGGAAGAAACAGCCTTTGTAACACAGGAAGAGGTTAAAACTGACATTTGTGAGTTCTTGAATCAAAGCCAAAAAGAATTTTACAGTAATGGAATTAGTAAACTTGTTAATAGATGGAAGGAAGTCATAGATAATCAGGAAAATACATTTGGTCACTTGTTTTCTTTTATTCAAAATTCAGACAGAACTTATGGGATGACCTAATGTGTGCATATATATATATATATATATATATATATATATATATATATATATATATAAGAAATGGACAAAAGTCCGACAATTTATTTATTAAAGACATTTTTTATATTTAACGTTCTTTTTTATAGATACAAGTATTTAAGTAAATGCTCTGTTTATAATAAACAGTTATTTAAATGTTATTTAATACTGTTTATTATAAACAGAGCATTTACTTAAATCTTTTTGTATCTATAAAAAAGAACGTTAAACATAAAAATATCTTTAATATATATATATATTCTATCAGAATTATTTTACAACTTATTCAAGATGATCTTCACTCTCTAACCTTCTGTCCTGGAGTAACAAGGTGCCTCACATGTTTCACATACAATTTCATTTTCAAGTGATTTTTAACTGCTCTTTGGACTGCCATAGCTGAAACTCCACTTTCACATGTCAAATATATATACACATATATACATACATACATACATACATATATAATGGCTGGGTACTCTCATTTTCTGAGCACAACTGTCTGCTAGAAGAGCAGGCCAATCCCTGTTGCAAACAACTTAGTTACAGTTTCTGATCAGTCAGTTTGAACAACACCAATACACTCAAACCCTCAGTCAAGTTGACTTCTAAATTCAAGTTAACACAACCATCAACGGCTTCAAAACAGTTCCATCTACCCATTTTCACTCACAATGCTTGCGTCAATCTGTGGTATAGTTTTCAGGCACTTTTCAAAGGTACCACATGATGGGACTGCCCTCCACCACAAATCTCAATACACAGGTTTTCGGGGGGGTTCCATTTCAACCCAAGCAAGTTGATAATGTCACTAAGACACAAGGGAATTACTTGAGTTCAAAGAAAGCGGAAGAATTTAGGAGAAGGAACAGGAAACTCAATCCTAAATAGGAAACAAAGGATAAACCTCTACTCTTGTTCAAAATCAGAGAAAGAGTGTGAACTGGGTGATAAGTGTACCTATCTAATCCTATTAAAATTGTTAAAGTTCTTATACTTTCTTGTGAGGATTAACAAATGCATTTTGTATAGTATTGTGTGTATGAATTTCCATAGGTATCATCAAAATGTATGTACAGAAATATTCTAAAAGCAGAGAATCATATGAGGCTAAAAACAATAGATAGAGAAAGGTTTTCAGGGAATTGATTCTTACATGTCAAATAATGTAGACATGGTTACTTCTGTGTCTGGAAACAGCTTCACAGTACAAGGAGTGATCCCAATGGATAATTAGTAATCACAATGGATAGTTGACGTTAATAAAATAGTTAAGTTAAATTATCTTTGATGTCTTTTATCTCTGGATACAAAAACATTTTGCTACCCAGCCGTTAAATCAAGTATACCTAACTTTGAAAAGCTTTGAACCTCAAAACAAGAACGTTGATTTCATTTTTTTTTAAATAGTAAGTGGTAAAAATAAATTCATTCTTTTTTCATGGTTATTTTTTAAGATTACATTATTGGGGTCCAACAAAATAAACTTTATCCAGTTCAAGGGCTCCATGGGAAAAACAAGTTTGGGAAACCCTGCCCTAAGACAGTCAAGTGGAACACACATTGTGTCATACACAAAGCAAAGCAAAACAAATCATACTTACTTGGTCTACAGGTTTCAAACTTTTTTAGCAATCGTTTCGAGAAACCCATGGCATGAAGAAGTTCATGGATAGCCACCTTTAAAACAATGAAAATACAATGAAACTTTAAGCATTAAAACAATGAAATTTTAATAAACTTTAACTATTAAAGTTTTTAATATTCAAACTTGTAGTATGGTGTTACTGACTCACGCAAAGTAGTATGCACTCAACTACTTCATGGGTAATACCTGTTAGTCTTTGTGACTTCATATGTAAATGAGTCACCTCATCTCCTTATAACAAAAAACTTATCCACTTATTTTCCCTAGGAGTTTTTGTCTACTCGCTATCTTCCTCCTTAAGAGATTGTCTAGATATGGAAGATCTCGACCATCTTTTTTTCATAGGAGTGTTCCTCCAATGATTGTCCTTTTCATCTTCAGAGTCTATATTACTCTCAATTTCATCGTCTAGTTTGTCTTGCCTTGACATGACACTTTCGCCATCATTACTTTCACATACACTGTAAATTTCTTCATCACTATCCTGTTGCAATCTTACCTTGGTCTGCATGCGCTAATTTCCCATTTCCATTTTTATTCTATTATCATAGTGTTCTGTCCACTTTGCATCATGAATCTTGCATCTTGTAGATTAGATTCACTATTATTTTTATACCATAGTTTTTTGTTGGTAGAATAGGACACAATCAATGGAGTTCTAATTTGCCTATCCATGAGGGCAAATGGGCTTTTCAATTTTCCAGCATGTGGTATGTGGTAACTTAGCAACAATTTAGGAAGAAATGTTTCTATCTTTTCTTTCCATTGTACACATATTTTTCAACTCATTTTTTATATTTTGCACCATCCTCTCTGCTAATCCATTTGATTGCAGATGGTACAGTGGTGTCTTAAATGGTTTGCATCCATTTTTGTTCAACCATCATTCCCTATTAGACCAAGTTTCTTTTCACAGTTTGCCACAATAACTGGTAATAGATCAAACATATTTTTTAGCTTCACATAGGCTTCAAAATAACCCAACATTTTTATCATGAATCAGTCAAACTGATTCAATTGGACAAGACTTTTTTAATCTTGGTTTTCCTAATTTCTTCCAGAAATTTATAGGTATCAATATCATGTCACTTTTAGTTGCATGTTCAATAAAACATTATTGATTACAATTTTTAATAACATTTTTTTTTTTTTTTTTTTAAAGACGTCCATACTTATTTCCTCTTCATTTTGTTGAACCGTCTCTACATTTTTCTTTTTGGATTTACACATACATTTAAAATGATTCATTTTGAAACAGCTTTTATATATTTTTATATGCCGAACATTTTTGTTTTTCTCTTTGATGTTGATATCCACAAAAAGTACACATTATTTTTTTCTTTATTGCATATGTGTCAAGATCCGTAACTTTTGTTCTATTAAATTTTCCAATTCTTATTGCTGAACAAATTCAACACACTGTTCTAGTGACAACTTTCCTTGTTGTAAATGCACTACGGAAATTTGCTGATACTCCTTTTGAAGGCCATTCAACAATTTCATTTTGATCAAATCTTCGATTGACTGGTTTCCCAATCCCAGTTTCTCAAAGTCACTAATTTTAGTTTGTTTAAAATGAACAACATATTCAATAAATGGTTCATTCACTTTTTGAGAAATATTCATAAACTTAGATATCTCTGCATTCATTAGTTTTTTCTTGGGTGCAATGTCTTTCACTATTAGTTGACTTATATCGTCAAACGTCATTTCCTCCAACTGTCTTGAGTGTGCAATTGCTAATAACTTTAAAATGGCCTCACAACTAGCAGTTGCCAACAAGCGATCAGATATTTGGTTTTCTCTTCCAACTGATTCTAAATTCTGTCGCTTTTTCATTCTAACTTTAGCCGCTAGTATCTTAAGACATGCTTGTGTATATTCATAGTTATCAAGTGATAATTGTTTGTTTGGTTTGTTAGATATCACCAACATCATTGGAGTGTAGCGTTACTGACTCACTGGAAGTAATATGTACTCAACTTCCTCATAGGTAATTGCTGTAGCTACTGATAGTCTTTGTGAGTTCATATGTAAATAAGTCACCTCAAAAAATAAAAATTCAATGAAACTTTAAGCATTAAAATAATGAAAATTCAATGAAACTTGAAACAATGAAATTTCAATAAACATTAAAACAATGATAATTTAATGAAACATTAAGCATTAAATCAATGAAAATTTAGACCTTGAAAAATGTAATATCTAAATAAACACTAAGCACTATTCTCTCAGCAATGTTTGCCATAATTACTCACAGCTGACAATCTTTTCCTTTCTGATTTTAGCAGCTAGTAAAACAGCATTTAACAAGATAGTAATGTTTGAACATCACAGAGCAGACCCTGAGTCTTCTCGTCATGATTAACACGTGTACTTTCAATGTGGTTCTTTGCCTTGAACATCTATTGGTACTCAAGGTTCAAGTGGAACTTGTATATACAATCCATCACAAAAAGTGCTGGAAAAATGGCCAGTTCTTTCTACCACTTCAGAAAGTGCATGATTCCATCTGTCATGCTCTATCTTTACAAGAGTACACTCAAACATTCGGTCACAGTGACTTGTGGATTCATGCTAACACAACCATTGAAAACTTCCAAACAGTTCTATTTGCCCAATTTCACTCACAAGGCTTGGGTGGATGAATCTGTGGTATAGTTTTCAGGAACTTTCCAAAGGTTCCACATAATAAGATTGCCCTCCACTCCAAATACAAAGTTTTTTTTTCTGGATCCACAGATTTTTCTTTTTTTTCTTTAATCATTTCGCCCGAAGCAAGGTGATAATACCACTAAAACCCAAAAGGATTACTGAGGTTGAAAAGAAACAGAAAACTTTAGGATTAGCAACCAGAGACCCAATACTAACAGGAAACAAGGGATAAACCTCTACTCCTGTTCAAAAGACAATGAAGGAGTGTGAACTGGGTGATAAGCATACCTACTTATTTTTTTTTTTAAGCATTTTACTGGAAGCAAGGCATGGAGTGCCACTAGCACGCAAGGGGTTACAGAGAGTAAGAGCAAGAGTAAGGAGTAAAGAGGGGTGTTTTAGAAAAGGATATACGGAAGGATGGAAATCAGGATCAAAGCATCAGAAGATGTCAATTGACATTACATTTGAAGATTATAGCTATCAGGAAATCAAGTAGGAAAAAAGGAGTTCCACTGACAGGAAGTGCGAGAGAAGAAGCTGTTGGAGTAGAAGAGGCGGCTACATTTAACCATTTTCACAGTGAAAGGGTGCAACCGAGATGCCAACCTAGTAGCACACTGAAATTTCGCTACCCAGCCAGGAGAAAAAAAGAGAAAAGAAGAAAATGCAGTTGGGGTACCAGTGAAAGTAGCTCATCTCATCAGAGCAGCTACCATGAAAATATTTGTAGAAAAGACAGAGGAAAGCCACATCACATCTGTGAGAAAGTGACTGTAAACGAGATACTAATCAGGACATTACATATCTGTCTCTGGATTTTGTCTAGTACCTCAAGATGAACAATGGAGGAACCAGACCATATATGGCAACAGTATTCAATGCAAGGACAAATAGTAGATTTGTAGATTTGAAGGATGGAGAAACCTTCTGGGGCAACACAGAGAAATTGCTAAAGTTCTTATACTTTCTTGTAAGGAAATGATTAACAAATGCATTTTGTATAATATTGTGTGTATGAATTTCCACAGGTATCACCAAAATGCATGTACAGAAATATTCTAAAAGCAGAGAATCATATGAGGCTACAGGTTAAATCAAGCATGTTCAACTTTGAAAAGCTTTGGACCTCAAAATAACAGCTGTATTTTAGTCATTAACTGTGATTTCATTTTTTGTAAATAGTAAGTGTTAAAAATAAATTTCTTTTTTCATGTTTATTTTTAAAGATTACATTGTTAGGATCCGACAGGTCTTTGTACTACTCCAGAAAGTATGTGACTCCATTTGCCATGCTCTATCTTTTACAAGAGCCAAATCAGACCAAAAATGGAATCCTGTTACCATATCTAGGCTGAATCTGCTCAATCCTCACTGTCCAGTCTTTCTGCAGCTTTGTGAGTAGTCAATTATTTTCCACACTACAACCCATTTCCCCACAGATGAAATGTTGCTAGCCTATCATTATTTTCAAGGCAGATGTTCAGGTAAGCTACAATCCTTAGTTCCACCAGTTGAGGACCCTCACAGCTAGGACCCACCATGCCACGTACACTGAACCGACTCTTCCTTACACTCTTCATATTCCACTGGTGAGGAAGAAGTTCCATTCAGCTTCCTCCCCAGAACAGACTCCCAAGAGGATGCTTTCCAGATTGCTACAATCTGAACATCTTCAAGTCTGATGTCAAAAATTATCTATCCTACATATACTAATAATCTCCACCCCTTACTTCTTCTTTCAGCAACCCTCTCTACCTTGTGACTCTTGAACAATATTTTAAAACAGAGACTCTGAAAGGATGCTTCCCAGATCACTACAATATTAATGTTTTCAAGTTTCGTGTCAATCATTATCTGTCCTACATATCTGTGGTGAACAGTCACATAGAAGCAAGCGAGACAGAGTGACTTGCATCTGGTGCAAAGGAAAATAAGAGTCTTGCCTCAATGTGCAGCACATGGCATCAGCAGTTCTGCTCCTTGAAAATGACATTACTCTCCCGTCTAGCTATTCCAGTAGTATGTATGGTAACGAGGGTTTTTAGTACAGTTTGGCATACTTCAAAAATAAACAAAAATTAAAATGCTGATTGGTCAGACTGGAGGAAGCTATTTGCCTAGGTAACTAAGAATAAAAGCAATTGGTTGATCAGCCACAGTGTTGGCCTGATAAAAAAGGGCTGAAGCAGTGAGAAGAGGAGAATGGGTTTACATTTTGAAGTGTGTGGAAGACAAGAATGGCAGATTGAACCAGCAGTATCTTGAATTGTATGAACGATGTCCAAGTAATAGAGACTCATTTAAACTACAATATCCTTATAATATGCAACTCTTACTCCCTTCTTGTATGGCCTTATAACAACCTCTTTAAGGAGCCCTCTACCTTGAGTAGCTCTTGGGTTAACAAAAGATTTTTCTAGTAAAATTACCTTGGAAGGCTTTACTCTCATGAAATAATTAACAATGGATCAACATTATAGCTTTAATAACTATTTTCTCATGTTGCTTTAATTCTTGCCCAATGACAATCCTTTCTCTCCTGAAAGGTTCTCATCCTAACCAAGAAAAGATGAAAAAAAAAAAATATCTGCTTGGTTAGATTCTGGAAGTGGGTTGTGTCAAAAACTTTTCATCATCCCCACCCCTCACTGAAATTACCTACTTTGGGTGTAACAATAAAAACGATTATCCAAACATGACATTTTCACAGATTTTACTCAGCCAATTTGTTGCAAAGACGTTTTTATCACTTTCCTTCTTTTTTTTCATGCCATGTCTCTTCAGGATGTAGCTGATAATGACTCTCCACAGCTTCCTTTTCTTTATTATTTATGAATTGTCATGCATTCTTGGGAAAGAGAGTGAAATGGTTTCCCATAACCTTTCCATGGTATTGAATTCAAAATTTTCCTTCTAATAAACTGGTTTCCAACCAAGGCTAAAGATCCCTGTTTACACTGCTATTTAATATATTCCAGCTTTAATTGAATGCCATGTCCATCCAGGATATGGGCAATCATGTCTCTCCACAGATCCCTTTCTTTATTATTTTTGAATTGTCATATCATCTTGGCAAAGACGGTGGAGCGTTTTCCTGTTACCTCCTCCATGGCTTTGAATTCAGAATTCTCCTTCTGTTAAACTGGTTTCCAGCCAAAGCTAAAGATCCCAGTCTACACTGTTATTTAATATATTTAGCCTTTAATTAATTGCCATGTCCCTTCAGAATGTAAGTGATCATGTCTCTCTAGATTCCTTTTCTTTATTATTTCTGAATTGCCACGTATTCTTGAAAAAGATAATGAAGTGGGGTTTCTTGTTGCTTGGTTTTATAAATTCAGAATTTTCTTTCTCTTAAACAAGTCAGCCCAATCTTCTCTGTTATTTAACCCACAGCTAGGGGCATTAATTTTACAACTATTCTAGTGTTAAAAGAATATTTCTGGTGCATATGTTTTCTTTGTTCTTTTACATTTGTTCTGCAAATATTTTAATAAATCTTTATTAAAAAGTCAATTTAAAATTTTCATGGAAGTCAAATTAAAAGCAGAAAATGAAAAAGGAAGACAACTATGACACTCACCATGAACATGCTATCCCTGCCAACATCCAGCTGGTTTGGGCAGAAGTTGATGACACCAGAGATTGGCCGGCCATGCTGGTCAGTTTGGCAGTAGCCTGCAAATGCAATTACGTGTTTGTCCTGTCATAATAAAAAAAAAAAAACGTCAGAGATGCATATGAGAGCGATAAGTGCAAACTGATATGCAAGTTGAACAGTTCTTACTTAAACAACAATGTAACAATTAATGGATTAGGGCAAGTATGGGCAACCTTTTCTGACCAGTGGGTGACATGAGATATGGCTCTTCATAAAATGGCCTGCACTAATAAAAAAAATTAAAAGTAATTTTTCACTGAAAGTAAAACAATCATTTTTCATTACAGATCATACATATAAAAGCATGTACCTTAAAAATAGAGAAAAAGTTGATATTTTTTTTATTTGGAGAAAAGATATTTTTCTACAATTTAAAAATTTAAGATTTGATATACCACATATATTCATAGTGTGTTGTAGAGTAGTATCACAGTGGAAGCTTGTATTTCAATAAGTCGTCCTAAATTAGGTTCGACGTACAAAATGTTAGGAACTTGCAATAATAATTAATGACGCAGCAATCTAGTGGTGATGGTTGATACTTCAATGTCCAACATCGACTGACTCACTCAACTCCACTGAGCCCAACTGGCGACCGCTACTACTACTTATTATGTGTGGGAGAGTCTATTACAATAGAATAGGTAATGTTCTGGTATAACACATAGATAGGTCACACCAGAAAATAGGTTACACCCTTAGTTTGGGGTTGTCAAAGTGGGTATTTTGTGGTTGACTCCTAGATAAGTCATACTATAATCTGAGGAGTTACATGGCCCTTTTTTAATATATAAATATAACTAATATTTGTTAAATATTCACCTTTATTTCAAAACTTTGCTTACATATTGTTGCGGTAAACCCTCCTACAGTAAAATGAACTCTTCCTCCTCTCATAAATACTAACTGCAAAAGTCAGTTCGGGAGCATAACCTATCATTCAGACGTACACCTCTATCTGCTTATTACTAACACTCTTGCTTTGTATATATCTATTTTCAATACACTTGTTCAACTTACCTTTGACTTCCATGTCTTTCTTTCTGGTTCCTAAACAGGCCTCAACACATATATTAAAACATAAGAAAAGTGTTTATTCATTTAGATATAGTTATTAAACTTCATCAGGACTGAAACCCAAAAATTATTCTTCATCATCATTGCTGTCAAATATTCTTTCCATTTTTTCATTCAGTTCATCATCAGTTATGGTATGTTCATTTCTATCCTCATTCTCTCTTTTTTCATGCTTAACCAACCAAATCCTCATTGTCTTCAGTGCCAGCCATGGCATTAGAGATGCCGTATTTTTTGAAGGACTCGATAATTAGTTCCTCAAAGATACTGTCCCAGGCTTCCTTCACCCATTCTACTACTAAGCAAAATCTAGGTCTTTTCAATGACCCACCTTTAGTAAATTCCTTTTCACCAGATATCATCCAAGATGTCCACAATTTTTAAACATAAGTCTTAAAAGGCTTGTTTGCTGAAACATCAAGTGACTGCTAACAAGAGGTGCAACCACCACCGGAAACGACTGCTTGCTTTGTTTGGTATTCTTGCAACTTAGCCTTCACTAGCAATGACTTAAACATGTCCCATGCTAGAAGACTTCTGGGTTTGAGCAAGGTCTTTTCATCCAACCAAACATGTGTTAAGTTTTCATCCATCCATCCCACCAGATGTACTTTCACAATAACATTTGGTGGAAAGGAATCCTTCAGCATTGTTATATTTTATTCTAAGGGAATAAATAGTTAACACCAGGTGGATAATAGAAGAACGGTTTATTGTACATAACCAGTACAATATGAAATACGGTACAGTTATACACACAGGTCAATCTAGTAGTGAGTGCCACTAATTGGAAGGTCAGACATGCTTGCGTCATCACTCTAACTCTTCTCACATTTACCCAGTCTCTTGTAGACACTCGACTTTATATGTACTTACTACCTATAGTGTAATCATTCATGGGGATGCCAGGTTATTCCATTACATCAAGCATATTCTTCCTTTTGAAGATAACCATTGGACAAAGCTTCCCCCCCCCATCATCTTGACAGGCTAGCACTACAATAAAATGTTGTTATTCATGCCCTTTACTGTAACAGTTTTGATTTCCAATTCATTTTCTCCCTTGCTCTCACTTATGCTCAAGCCCAGGGTACTCGCCTGGACCACTGACACACCACCACATTCTATTTCAGATTCTCTATGATGTCAAGTGGATAGATCGCACTCCTGATTTTTAATCAAAATTATGGTGAAAAAAGCACGACCTATGCTAGAGTAAATAACGTAAAATTATTAATGACGACATTGTGATTAACACATGCTCCTGTGTGTGATTTGTTTCTAATTTATTAATTTGAAAATACAAAAAAATATATATTTTTAAAAAGAAAAATATATTTCTTCTTTAGAGAAAAAGATTGATATGAACATTTTTCATTTCAAAAGCAAAAGATGTTTCCACATATGATCTTCATTAGTGGTTTAAAATGCTGAGAAAGTTACCTTCAAAGAAAAGTTACAATATTCAAGAAACATTATACTTATTATATCATTGTTATGTATACAGATTTGTTGAACTATACCCAAAACACAAGAGGCTACTTACACATAAGGGCATTTAATAGTTATCTCCCTTTAACACCAACATCTCAACTTTTTTCTGCATGAGAGAGAATGTGAGTGAACAAGTGAGAATGACACAAAACAAAAAATTTTAGTAAATGTTATTTTCCTCATTAAATTAGATGTGTCACTCAGAAAGCCAAATTGGCTACAAGTGACCCACATGGCACAGTTTTTCCATGACTACATCAGTTCCTGCTATGAATTAGTTCCTGTTTAAGCAACAATATAGCAATATTCTTGTATTATTTTGAACTAGTGTTCTCATTTTGATGTTAGATGTTATTATAGACAACGTTTCAATCAAGTACCCTCTGGTCATCATCAGGTGTCCATTGTTTAGCTGATGTGGGATATCTGTTGATTATTGTGTTATTTTTGTCCCTGTGATGCCAGTTATGGTATATTCAAGCTGAATCAGTGCTTCACTACCTGATCCTGGGATTAAGCTCACAATATGTTTATCCAAAGTGAGTGCAACAGAGAGAGGGATTGGAAAGGAGGTTATCTTAGATAAAGGCAGTTATTTGTAGTGAGGGGTTAAATCATGTTTCATGACCTAACGATCTGTTGAGGACAAATTTATCCCTGATTTTTTATTATATACAGCATTATTACAGTGTATAAACATTAGAGTGACTACTCATATACGTGTATTCACTAAAATCATATTTGTTTAATAAACACTACCTGTGATTTTACAAGTGACATTAACAGTATGTTTAACAAGAAGACATTTTGTTACAATGTATAATGGGATAGAAATCTGGAGTAGAACACACATACTTTTAACCAACAGTTTTTGGAGTCTTTCACCGAGACGTAGAGTAGATAATCTGTATTATTAACTCCTTCTCCAGGCTGATGGAATATTTTGACTGGTTCTTTATCAGTTCGACTCCATAGTGAAAATCCTTCCAAGTGCTCATTTGGAATCTAAAACAAATGAAAAAGAAAAGAAAATAGAAAATAAAAAAGACATTATTGCTTTTTTTTCTTGGTTTCTATTTTATAGCCAGCAGGTGGTTCTTTTGGAGTCTAGTTTTCTCAGCAACATCCAAAGGGAAACAAGGGAAGTAAAGGAGTGGATGAGGGGTTTTTTGGAGACCAAGTGACAACAAACTAGACATTGATTATTTCCGTTACCTGGTCCATATTAATATTCATGCTTGGGATCAGAGAATTAGTTCTGGTCCACCATTTGTGGGAGAAGGACTTGTCCAATGTGTGGTTCATATAAGGGTCATGTACTATGTCTTAATTGTCAACCATTATTGAACATTTTTTTTTTACTAGTTTTTAATCGAATGGTTAGGATATTAAGTGTCCAACCAGGACACTTTATAAAATAAAACTAGATCAGATTTTGGGAAGTGAATCGGGCTGAGAACTTTTCAGCATCTTCCTTCAGTATACTGATCTGTATAAAGTATAGTGCAAGTTTTAATGATCAATTTTTTATGCAAAAAAAAAAAAAAACACAATTGGGATCACTCTATACACAAGTTTTATTTTGAAGAGGTTAAAAATCATGAATTTTCAGTGACTGGTTGCACTATACATAGGTAAAAATTTTTTTCTGGAGGGGTTAAAATCCATGCAAAAAAATTAAGGAGTCACGCTATACATGAAGTTGGTTTATACACAAGTATATATAGTAGATAGATTAAAATTTTGGAAATGTTAAGGAACATTACAGATCAATCACAAGAACAGCTTACAGGTTTGATTCTCTGCGTCTTAGAAATTTTTCTCTAGATTTTGAAAATGATGTATTAATACCAGCACCATTGACCTTGCTAATCACATTATTTGAGCCACTTCCATACCCTCTGGTCTTCTTTAGGCATCTGTCTGTCTGATAACCTTCTTGAAACTCCAAATACAGATTTTGGCACAAGTTTTTTTGGTGTGGGGAGGTAACCCAGTACACATTGTTACCACCAGAGATTAACACCTCTTAGGTCAAAGATTACTGATGGACATTAAATTTTATTCAGAAATTCTAGTTGTTCATAAAATTCTGCCAACATACAGGGATAATGAAGATGGAAAAAACAGTTAATACTGAACAATAACACAAATTGTATAAAACTATTGTAATATAATTTTTTTGTTTATCATTTCACCCCAAGCAAGGTAATAATGCCACTAAGATGCAAGGGGTTAGTGGGAGAAAACAAGAAGACTTTAGAAAAAACTGCAAACCCAATCTTAAACAGGAAACAAGGGATAAACCTCTTCTCCTGTTCAATAAACAAGGAAGGAGTGTGAACCAGGCAATAAATTGTTTCCATTTCTCAATCTGTCACATCCGTCTAAGAGAATTTCAGAACACATCATTGTTAATATTCTTGTATTGTTTCAAACTGTTGTTCCTATCTTTGTTGATATAGTTATTATAGACACAATATTTTGATCAAGTACCCTGCGACCATCATCAGTTATACATTGATGAGCCGATATGGGATATCTGTCAATTATTGTGATATTTTGTCCCTGTGATGTCAATTACTGTTTGTTCCTGTTGTCTTTGGGATGGTGGCACAGTGGATATAGGAGTTGGTTATGTATGCATTATTGTCATCTAGTGGTCATTAGTTCAATCCTTGGATCTGGTAGGGATGCACCAATTCAGTAAGAACAAACAATAATTGACATCACAGAGACTAAATATCACAATTATCGACAGATATCCTATATCAGCCAATCAATGGACACCTGATGATGACCAGAAGGTACTTGGTCGAAATATGTCTAATAACATCTATATAAACCAAAATGATAACAATAGTTTAGATTAATACAAGAATACAGACAATTAATCATCTCAGAAATAAAATGTTAAATTACATTATTTTTTAATTCTTTTGTTCTGCTTCTCAAATGACTCACTGTGTTTACAAAATCTGACCCAGGGATTGAACTCCCAAATTCAAGAAAACTAGATGAGCTTTACCACAATTAGTTGATTTGTTTTCTTACAGATTATTGAACCTTTGTGAGTTATTTAAACCCAAAACATATTTGGGACTATTAGAATATACATATTTTTTTTAGCAAGTTAATATTGAATTAATCTAATATTCCAGATACAAGTCCTACTATTTAACCCATAACTGAGAGGGGGAGATGAATTCATACCTCTCCCAAGGATATAAATCAATGTAACAAATGCGATTGGAATTTGAACTCAGCTCTCCAATTTCTCATTCTGAGCCACTATCCATTATATCACCCACACATCCAAGATTTAACACAAAAGAAATCTGCCTCTGAAATTATGAAATATGGCCTAATAAGCAAAAGCTGCTGGCTGAGTATTTATAAAGGTCTGAGTCAAAACTTTTGATGGAGATTTTGTTAGCTATTGGGATTCTTATTTCATTCAATCAAGATCCAATCAAATTTCTTGTTTGCTGCTAAGAAATTATTTGATTAGTCAAAAAGTTTTGAATTAGATTTTAAAGTTAACACTTTCTGAACCACAGTTTCAAAACAAGGAAATAATTGGTTGCAACAACTTATTTAAAATAAATTAAATCTCACCTTAACTGTTTCTAAACAAAATTCACCAACATAATTACGCTCAGACCCACTGCATCTGAAAGGAAATATATATATTTTAAAAAAAAATAGCAATGTTTTAATATTATTAACCCTTTGAGTCCTGGCCACTACTTTACAGGTGGTAGAGAAAAATGACTTAATGCCCAGCCACCGGTTGAAAACTGGGTAAACACTTGTAACTATTTTTATATCTACCGCAAAACATTACGTACCAATTATTTGCAAACTTTAACTCAGGAGCTCAGGCAGAAGGATTAAAATTGTTCAGGAACACAGGGCTCAAAGGGTTTATATTTAAGTGCAGTACTAGATTGGCAACAAGGTCTCATCATTTTACAATTGAAATGGCTAAATGCAACCTTAACTTCTATGCTAACAGCTTCTGCTTTCACACTTCTCACTTGTGAAACTCTCTCCCAGCATCTTACTTTCCAGTCAACTTTGATCTTCAAAAATTTAAATGGAATTTCAGTCATTCTCTTCTTGATTCTTCTTCTTTTATTGTCCTCGCACCTTAATAATGTTTCTCTTTTTCTCATTCTTTCACACTCTAACCCTTTGTGTCTTAGTGGCTTTACTGCCTTGCTTAGGGTGAGATGATTAAAAAGAAAAAAATTAAATATAATTTTGGAAATGAGGATTAAATTCCTTATTGCTCTAAATGCAGTGTGAATTATGTTGACTGGCCTGTACGTTTAAGAAACTTAATAAAGAAAGTGTACTCTCTAGAAGGTTTGAAATCTGTGTTCACCTTTATAGAGGAAACCGCCATCTGATTAAACGTGCTTTAGCCCACTCAACCAGAGTGCACACAGACCATCAACCCCTTTAAGAAATGTGAATCCTCTAGATCTGATCTACTTCAAAGTCCATATTTGCTGACTTTTTATTTTTGTATCCAAAATGAAAAACAAAGTAATTTCTAAGGAATTGATGAACCTTATTTCTTTAAGCCAACATTATTTTAACAATAAAATGAAAAAAAATGAATTTCATGAGGATATGAATAGGATATTTATCATTTTTTAATCATTTCACCCCATGCAAAGCAATAAAGCCACTAAGATAGTAGGTTACTGAGTGTGAAAGAATAAGGAATAAGAAAATGAGAAACATTATTAAGGAGCAAGAAAAAAGAACAGGAACAAAGAAGACAGAAGATAACAATTGATACTAGATTTAAATTTTTGAAAATCAAACTTAACTTGAAAGCAAGAAGCCAGAAGAAAGTTCCACAAGCAAGAAGTGTGAGAAAAGAAACTGTTAGCATGGAATATGCTTACATCTATGCATATCAACTGTAAAATGATGAAACCTTACAACAACTCTGGTAGTACTTTTAAATTCAAAAAGTCTAGGTACCATAGAAGAAAATTCATCAGAACAATTACCATGAAAATATTTATGAAAAAGACACAGGAAAGCTATATTTTGGTGGTGGGAAAGTGATTGAAGCTGAGATGCCAGGTTAGATCCAATGACATTGCAGATTATTTGGATTTTATCAAGGATCTATAAATATATAGCCAAAGCACCAGACCAGATATGGCAGCAATATTCAAAGCATAGATGAATGGTAGACTTATAAATATGTAAGATAGATTCTGGAGAGAAAAAGTGTCCTGCATGACACAGTGAACAACTTATTTCTAGTGAAATTAACAAGCCATTCCTTGCTCCTGTTAACAACAGAATGTAGCTCATTTTTGAGTTGGAATGTATCTTATTGGTAAATATGTTACACAAGTACCAGTGAATACAGTCTCTTTATATGGAAATTATAACTTCCTGTTTATGAGTAAAAATTACCAACATCAATTGTAGCCCATGAGGTTACATTCTAATTCAATTCTTGAGGCACCTAGCTCTTTTGATGTTCTGAGATGATACCGAGTATGAAACTTACTTTGGTATCTGTTAGGTTGAACCCAGGACATATTGGGGTTTCCACAAATCAAAATGTCTTAGGTCAGAGGTTTCTGACGGACATTAAATTTGATCTCTGGTATTTCCATTTCATCCCAAAAAAGGTGATAATGCCATTAGGACACATGAGGTTACTGGGAGTGAAAGAGAATGAGAAGACTTTATTGAGAAGTGAGGAGAAAGGACAAAAGAAGAACAGGATTCAGGAAGACAGATGATAGCGACTGGCACTGAATTTAAATTTTTCAAGATTGTAGGTGACAGGGAAGCAAGAAAACAGAAAGGAGTTCAACAAGTGAGAATTGCAAGAAAGGAAACTATTAGAATAGAACATATGATTGCAACTAGGTAATTCAACAGTAAAACAGTGAGACCTAATTGCCAATCTAGTAGCATGCTTAAATTCATGTAGTCAAGGCACCAAGGAGGAAAGCTCATCAGAACAACTGTCATGAAGATACTTGTAGAAAAGACAAAGGGAAGCCATATCATGTCAGTGAGAAAGTGACTGAAGTCAAGATGCCAGGTAAGGATCGATTATATCACAGGCCCTTTTTTGAATTTTGTCAAATATCTTGAGATAAATAGTAGGAGCACCAGACCAAATATGGTAGCAATACTCGATGCATCGATGAATGAATTATATCATTTTTATTTTTTTAATAATAAAAAAAAAAAACGTTATATATGCTACTCACTTGTGTTTATTTGGACCATCACTCCATTTGGTCTGACAAGCTGTCCGAGCCAAAAGCAATGGATTCAATGCTGGCACAA